GCTTTGATAGCCCGCGGCAACAACCCTTCTATTAGTCCTGCTTACGATCTTGGAGGTATGCAGATCTCCTATCATTCTTGCTTACCCTCACTCGGATCAGTATAAGCGAAGGTAAAGATCCCTTGCCATTTGGTGTATAGAAACAATGAATAGGACATTGCTATCTATGCTGTTGATCACGATCCTACAGATTGCCCAACTATCCCACGGACTGGTAGGGACCTTAAATCCGACGCTAATTTGGACGCGTTTTCCAGCTATTTTTTTTGATTATTATTACTCCTACCATTATTATGCCGCGTAATAGAGTATTTACTAATATAGATTACGTGCCTATAGACCTAAAGCTTTTACTGCTGCCTTCCTCTAAATAAAAGCTTTTACTTTAATGTTTTTTACTTTACTTTAACGCAAAAAAAATTAAAAAACTATATACGTCTAGAAAAAGGTCTTTACTAAAAGCTATTAAAACTCAGAATTTATATAATGTTTTTAGCTTATTTTTTATTAATAAAATACTTCTAATTATTGCTAAATATATAAATAACTATACTATTAAAAAGTTATTTTTAATTTAAAAGTTGGAAATTACTTTATATATAAAAGCTTAAAAGCTTATTACTATAAATAAGCTATATATATTTATAAAAATTATTATTTAGATAAATATTTATTTAAAGACTAATATAATAGACTTTTAAAATAGAAATAAAAAGTATAAGCCTATATATTTATATATAATATATTATATAAGTTTTATATACTTTAAATAGTTTAGCTAGTTTCTTTATATATTAAAATTGCTAAAAAAAGATTTAAAATCTATTTTTAAAAAACTAGATCTTTTAAATAAATACTTATAAACTATTTTTAAATATTATTAGTATAGGGGAACTTATTTAAATATTAATAAATTAATTACTAAATTTATAAGTAGATTTAGAAATATTATAAATATTCTTAGTAAGCTAACTCTAAAAAGATATAAAATATAAATATTAATAAATAATAAATATATTCTAAATTAGCTATAATACTTAAAAAAGGATAAACTATAAAATATAAGTCTTTACTAAACTAAAAAATAAGGTTACTTTAATATATAGGCAATAGTACTTAAATTGCTTAAATAAAAATACTTTATTAATATATTAAATAAATATATTATTTAGTTAAATAACTTATTTATATTATTTTAGCTATTAACTTAATTTAAATATAATAGCTTTAATATTATAAGTACTATTAAAACTATAAAAATAATAAAGGAAGTAATAGAAAAAATATAAAAAATTATATAATAAAAAAGTAAATTATTAAAAAAAAAAATTATAGTTTATAATTTATAATTATAGATATTAAGCTTAAATATAGTAAGTAGCTTAAATAAAAAAAGCTATATATAGCTATAAGCGATAATAAGTAAGTTTATTAATTTATATAAATAAATTAGGCAATTATTTTATATATAAATATTATTAATAATAATAAAAAAACTATAATTTATAAGCAACAACAACTAACTTTAATATTTAATAATATAAAGATTATTTATTTTTTTTAGCAATAATATTATTAAAAATCTTTTTATCTTAATTTTTATTAACAATTATAATTATTATATAAATAGCGTTAGTTATACTAACTAATTCTAATTTTATTATTTTATATAAAAGCTATAATAGCAAGTATAAATACTGCTATTCTATGTTTTACTTAATACTATAGTAACTAACGCTTATAAAATTAGTATAAATATATTAAAAAAGCTATATAGGGAAAAAAGAATAAATAGTTTTTATAAAAAGTTTCGGATTAAGCTTATGAAGATGATAATTAGTTAATTTAAAAAATGTTATATAAATAAATTTTTTTTTAAAAGCTAAATCTATCCTATATTATTATATAGATATTAAATAATTAAGCTTAGATGCTTATTAATATGCTTTATTTATAAAATCAATAGTAAAAGAAAAATACGCTTAAATTAAGTAAGTTAGAAACTACTAGGGGAATTAAAACTAAATACTATAGCTAAGTAATAGCAAAATCGGCTCTTAAGAACTATTAAAGGCTATAGTATATGCAAGATCTATATTTGCTACTATAAAAAGTATTAGACTAATTATATAGACCGAGCAAAACAAAAACACTATAATATTTAAGTTTACCCCTGAAATAAGGTCCCTACCAGTTTATGGGATATAAAGCAATCTCTTCAATGCAATGAACACGATCCATCTTCGGGATATAGTCATCGCAGCGGGAAAGGGTCAAAACGCATTGAGTGACCGCTTAAGAGGTAGATCCTTGGAACATGAGCAGAGTTTTCGACGAAGACAAAGAGCGTATGCGTCGCCAATTTCCGGAGATGGATGACATGCCGGGGCTCAACTACTATTGTTACTTTCTAAAGTCATCTTTCAAGACTCTAATTACTGGTCACCTAGATGATATGACCTTTCTAGGACATACAAATGTTAAGTGGGGACATTCTATCAGCGGATGGCACGGTATCTCTGGAGCCCTTATTAGCTATATTGGCAAGGCAGCCGACAGTACCGTAGGACATCAAGTCATTGGAATTGTGAGTACAGTGACCCAGCCACGAGTGTAGCGAGACGAGAAATATCTGCGTATATCTTGTAGTCTGCACACAGCTCCATCTCCATAACATGTACACAATTCAGATAGTGATCCTCGCTCGTAATATAATAGACAAGATTCAAAAAGTGTTGGCCCACAATGCACAATCTTCAGAAGGGAGTTGAATGTTCATGCATACCGCATGGTGATCGATAAGGCCTAATGGTCTTTCGATTTGTTTTGCGCACTGAGACTCTCCACTAGATATCAATTCTCAAGACCTCCAGCTTATCAATGTGGTATCGCCTTGGCATAACCCTAGTAATATGATCCAACAGCGATGTGACCTCTGATGCCTTTGCGTAGACCTTCTGTCTTTTCCTTGGGAGGCTGGTGGGGATGAAGAGATGGCCAAGGCATGATCCGAATTGGGAGATGGATGTGAGAAAGAAGAGGATGGTTGGACCTTGCGCAGTGACCAAGGCGTACTATGGAATCTATAGCGCGGGGCCGGCACTTCCACCTCTCTTTCAGGTCTGATGACGCAGCAATAACTAGATTTGGCATTGACAGGGTTGACCTAATATATTTGTTTCTCAGCGCCTTCCTACTATCTGTCTGCCTTCTTGCCATTAGTCCCACCGGAAAGCTTTTCATTCATCGATCCTGTGTTGAGTCGCCTAGGCTGGATTGTATCTCCACAGTACTTTGTCAAGCCTTCACTGGCACAGATGTTGGAACGTCTTTGTTTGCTGCTTGGTAAAGCAGATCATATTTGCCGACTTCACCACCCGCGACGGTAACCATGTCAGCAACGTTTTTGTACCTCAAATGCAGGGGGCGCATCCTCCGTTTCCACTTGGCTGCGTTTGTTTTTCCATTGTAGCCAACAGTAAATGCGGGAGCTTGCTTGAACCTGTCAAGACTTGAAGCCAACGAAGCTATATTCTCCACTCCAAGGTAGGTATCTTTGGCCAACTGCTCGCTGTCGAGTTCAAATACCGCGAACTCGCTTCGCTGTCTAGCAGAGCAAGATGGGCCTTCTTGGTATGGGGATAGATAGTCGCCTAAGAAGAAGTTTCAGCGTGGGCGTCCACAATAATCATTACATTCCAGATTTACCATCAAAGTCAGGGTGTCGCAGCCGCGAGATAAGACAAAGCGAGTTTCTCTCATTATGAGGCTCGATGTCAGCTGAGGCTGGGCACACTGCGGGAAATTTAGGAAGAAGTTATCTTTTGATGTTAAGATCCTAGATACTAGAGACGAAGGGCTAGGATGCATGATTCTGATGCGAATAATTATGCGGCGTTGTAGCGGCTGTAAGAGGTGTTCGAGGGGTAAGAGGTGGCAAATTGAGGGTGCGAGAAGAATGGCTCTGCATGATGGATATGAAGGTGAGAAGTATGTGGGAATGCAAGTGAGAGAGGTGCTGCAGAGGACAGACGAGGATGAGAAAGGGGTGTGTTTGTTTAGAGAGTGTGGGCGCACGAGGGAGTGAGGGGTGGAAGGAGAATTGTGGAAGGATGGGGTAGCGCAGAAGGAGGGAGCGATGGTGATATGGAGATGAGCAAGAAGATGTTCACGATAGCTTGGGGAGAAAAGGTTTCAGGGTAATGGAGAAGAGGAGAGAATATTGCAAGTGCTAGAGAACCTGTGATGCGTACAATTCTGGACAAGATAGTCGATAAGTGCAGACTCTTTAGTCTGCTATAATGAGCTATCATAGGCGCTGTGAGAATGTCTAGTCGCAGGCTGTTTTCTAATTTTGAAAAAGAATATATATTAGAATATGAAGGCTATTGAGTATAGAATAGCGCAGGTGAGATGGCGCAGTTAGAGAGATTTACGAATTCGGTCCGCCTGCCGCCGACCCAGTTGAAGCTTGCTTTGACAGGGATGACCGATAGGACCTGAATTCCCCCTTTTCTTTTTTATTTTGTCGCTGGTTCGAGTCTCTACATCGCCTCAAATTCACTTTTTTTTTTCACCCAACAAATTGTTGCCTAGTTTGCAGTCAAAGATACATCTTGGTTTTACTTAGCCAGGTTTTTCTTCCAATTATTGCTCCGAACATTGGCATGTATATTTGCAAGCTCTGCTTCATCTCGCCGGCATACAGAGTGTGAGTGCCAAGCGCCGGTGGCGACGAGGTAAACACGGGATTGCATTGCCCTATTCGGGGTCAACACATTCACTCTGGGATAGTGCGAGATTGCATGCGGGGTCTTCGTGTCCTTTCTTTTCATTTCTCCCGGTCGCAAAATTCTTGACTTGATCACGCCGTGCTGTACCACGATAGCCTTCACTGGATCTCTGTTCATCATACTTTCTTCAATATCACAATCGTTCTCATCGATATCCCTGCGCTCCCATTGCTGTGCTCCCGAAACAACTTGATTTTAAGTAACGGAATGTCGAATAACAAGAAGAAAATGTCCAAGAATAAGACGAAGAGGCAGACACAGATAGACCGTGAGGCTGCCGACCGTGCCAAGTATCGTGAGCTGCGGAGGGAATCAAGGCGGGCTAAACGTACTGAAATGGCACCCTTCGCCTTCAATTATGATGCTGACACCTCCAAGAAATTGCGAAAAGAGCCAAACGCTCTCTCGCGAACAGTATGTCATGTTTTTGTTACCGTCTTTTCACTCACTCGGCTTCGCTGGTCATCACCGCAGCAGGGGCATAATGAGAATAATAATTGATGCTGACACAAATACACTCGCTCAGCAGACACCACGCCCCCCTCTCTCACCACCGGCCTTACTGCGAACTCGTCCACGAGCTTAGCAATCCCATCTGGAGCTTTCTCACAAGTTGACACTCACGGTTCAACCCTCCCCTCCCCCTACACCGACACCGCCACTGTAGTTCAAAGTATCGAAGTAGCCGACGCGGCGAACGAAGACGAGCAGTTGGCTCGACTAGCCACTTTTGTTGATATAGCAAATCACACCGTCGTAAGACGAAGGACTAGCGCGATGACGGAGTCGCTGGACTCCCGAGTCGGTCGCAATGCGCGGCACCATGGGAACACGGAACGTATGTATATCAAGACGGTCGATTGAGATGGGGAAGCTGACTGACAACACGTAGGACAAGGAGAGCAGGGCTTTGGAATGGCGCCAATCCAGGAGGAGGGAGAGGACGACGAGGACGATGAGGATATGATAAAGGATGAGGAGAGCAGTGGTGGGGACGAAGCAATGGGGAGTCTGGATCCGGGGAGCGACGATGGAGGGGATGTAGGTGGTGAGGAGGGCGGGAATGTGGCCGAAGACTGACGATTACGTTCGCTGCTGTCTCTTTGTAGTGCATTTGAAAATGCCTTACAAGGCTCAAGGGAGCCTTTCGATCAAACTTCTCCATCTGATCTGTCTCACTGGTGCAAAGTCCTATAGCATGCGGAATGCATTATCTATGCCATAGCTCAAGAGAAGTATTAGGTGACAGTAGGTCGCCTTAATGATCGTCCAATACGAATCGGAAGCCATCGTCTCCGAATCTCGCCACTGTAGCAGCGACTGCCCTGTCCTGTGGTAACGCATCCAGTCTTCCCGGGATGCCAATGTCTGCGAAATGGAGGTTTCGCGTTGTGGCTACGATAGTCCACCAAGACGTATTATAACTTACACCGTTCGTCCGAAAAGCGTGCAGACCCAAGATGACAGCTACCAGCGAGAAGAAAATTCCGATGCCGTATGTGATAACGAGATTACGAGCGTGGTAATCATAGATATTCTGTGGAGTATTCGTCGTGACATTCGTTGAGACGGTCCGTCTGAAGCCAGTGCAGGCTTGTTAGACCACACACAGATCCCAGGAGCCAAAAGAAAGAAATACTTACATGAATCTGGGATTTGAAAGCAGACCTATCGTCATGTTGACGGATAGCTCCTCAATCATAACGTCTAGCGTCCTGTTCCTTGCAAAGTCCATGTCCTGGAGGCGCTGGGGACTGAATGGCTCAGAAGGCCTTCCACTTATTCCGAGGGCGTGGTTTTTCAAGAAAAAACTATTCAGGTCTGAACTGCCGATGAGACTTGTCTGCTTGAGGTTTGTAGAGACAAGGCTATAAGTTCTGTTCGCATTGGTATCCGCTGGCGTGGTATCATTCGTGCCAACGTCTTGATAAAATGATAATTGACCGACAATCTGTGTACTCAGAGCCCACATGAATGCCGAGTAAGCTATGTTTGCTTCATCGCTGGACGAGAACGTGACATTCGTGGCGTAAGTCACAAAGTTTTCTACCTCCTGGTCCAGAATGTCAATGGCCTGTTTGCCATTCGTCCAAGTAAATCTGACGTGGTAAGATGCATTACGAAGCGTGCAGACTAAATAGCGGTGATTTTCTTCTTGTGAGACATCGATACTGCCGTCGCCGCTGTTTGAGCGTGCAAAGCGAACCCAGACTTGATTTGAGGCGTTCACAGCTCCGTTAGGATCCGCGAGGTCCGCTGCTTGGATTTCTGGGATGAAGGAGGTAGTATTACTAAGGGCGGGCACAAAGGCCAAATAGTGGTTCGATATTTCTTTAATCGTTGGGTCCAAATCACTTTTTAGTCTTGCAGCTACAGTATCGATCTGAGAGGCGACTGTAGCATTAGCATTCTCGCATCTGACAAATGGCGCAAAGAATGTTTGACTGTAAGTTGCATTGGTAAGTGGGAACGGTAATTGTAGGATCTGTCCAGTGCTAGCTGTTGCCGTCGCAAGGCGAACGAGGACTGTTCGTGGACCGAGGAACTTTTGTAAGTCATTGCCATTTGCAGCTACAGTATATGCAAATTCTCGGAACTGTGTATAATTCGATATCTGAAGCTCGGGGACGTCCATCAATTGCGTACTAGGGTGGGAAATGATTCGCACGTTCAAGGTGGCTGGGGTGATTACCGTCGAGAATGGTAGACACCTTTCCGAACCTATCAGTCATGACGTAACGGGCTTGCTTGGGGGATTTACCATGCAATGATAGCGATGAATGAGACAAAACCAAACTTGGATAGGACCTCGAGATTAAGGAACGAAAGCAATGAGTGCAATGCGTCAAACGCAGCATCAATTGTTTTGACCGTATTCTCGGTCCGTTTGATGGTTTTCCATAGGTACTGACTGTAGCTGATAGATACAGAACCGACTAGGCTTGCCGACGTCAAGTATGCGAGAAGGGTTCCAACCCTGGATATCATTGAGTGAGGCTCATTCACAGTGAGATCATGCTGTCGAGGCGATGAGAAAGCAAGAGTATCACCTCAGTGCGTTCTGCTGCTGCTCCGCCTTCCCAACTCTCTTCCCATCTAGTCTGGTGTAGTAGCCATGGAGGGAGAAGGCTAGGATTACGCCGAGAAAAAACGTCGCGAGCATCATCACTGGTGATCGCCAATCTTGGGCTGCGCTCTGCGTATGTGCCATAGTTGAGGACAGATCTACGTGCTCTGTGTTCGGTGGAATATCTGGAGGGTCATGCATCTTCTCCTTCACCTGCTCATGGTCATTACCTGACGTTATTGGCTGCTGCGCCGTGTCACTCTGCATTGATCAAGGAAGAAGCTCGCTGTCCAGCACTGCTTTCTGTCGATGATTGGATTAGGCAAGATATTCAAAAGGAGATCAAAAGACTTTCTCGCCTGAGCATGACTCTTATCGAGGGTTAAATGATGTAAGGCTGGCGCTAACAGGTTCTGCCTTGTCAGGCTTTCTGTAAGGCCAACAGACTCTTTTTTCATCACCATGTTGCCGGAGCGCCGCAGCGTACAAGCGCCTCCGTAAGTGTGACATTGCCCCTGGTGGATCCGTCAGTGTCTAGTGCAGAGATTGCAACCAAAGAGCTTGAGCGCTGTGCAGACGCAATGGCCATGTCCTCTCTCGGATCGGATAAATGATCTCCCGACCAGACTCGAACGTACTTAGTTATGACTCAAAATCCGCAAGGTTTGTACAGGCATTGCGCCAAGTAAGGCGCCGTAGGGCTGAATGGCGTCATCTCTTCTCGGGCAGCTCGTCCATTGCCATGCCACCACGCAACCTCAAGGCTCCTCACTACGCGCCTCCGACGAGGGGGAAAACTACTTGCAGACAATGCCGGATAAGGTCAATGTAGCTCTCTCGCCCACGCATCACGCCTTGCGTAGAGGGGAACGTGGTGCAGCGTGTCCGCAATCTCGATACCCTCCTTGACGAATCCAACCTGTCATTCTCCCTCGACCACAACAGCTAGAAAGAGCCGTTTGGCCATATAGTATCCTGGCTCTGATAGTCTGCCACGTGCTAAATCCCACGACACAGACTACCGGCCATACGTACAAGTAATTGGCGCCTCACAGGAAAACTTTGCGGATCAGGCTTAGGAAAAGAATGTGGATCAACCGAGCAAGAAGAGCATGTGAACATAAAGTACATGATGGAGCTGTTGAAAAGAGGGAAGGGAGAAAGACGGCGCAGAGAGAAAGGCGTGGACTGGTGCTCCGCAAGGATGGAGAGGACGACTTCTATCGTCTCAACACGCATTCTGCTTTGCGGCCTAATAAACGGCGGTACTGCGATCAAGAGCAGAGTATGTCGGAGTGGCAGATCAAACTAAGGGACGGGAGGAAAGAATGGTCCTTATTCCATGGTGTAAGGGATTCACTTCCCTACATCCGACCCATCCTCCACATGAGGCCAATCCCAGCTTGCCCAACCTCCGCACTCCCACACCTTCCTGTGAATCCAATCTCTCCCTTTGTTCACCCTCTTGACGGATGAAGCCGCCCACCAGGTCTGCCTTCTTTCCTCTGTGACCGCACTCGCACCACTCATAATCCCAAGGAGGCCATGTCAAGCATCCCCAACCCGCTGTCGAAACATTGCTTTCATGCTGTAGGGAAAGCCTAGTGTAAAGACTTGGGATAAGAACGAGAAACGAGAGACCCTCGCACTGGCGAACTTTGATGTTTGCACTTGTTCTCAATGTTCTTTCTTAAGTATAAGACGAGATTCGGTCAGGAAACAAAGGGCAGTTTCTGTAGACTACGATTGTACATCCAGTCTAAGATCTTCAGGCAAGAGGCTTGTAGCGTCGCCCGGCAACTTCATCCCGATACACCAGAGCTATCCTTGTTTGCCGCGAAAAGCTGCTCCACGCAGTCGGCGTCATCGCCAAGTGCAGGGTTCTCAAAGCTTTCAGCCACTAACGCGGTGGCACAGAGTCGTGCCTAAGCATCTCTGATGCACTTCCCCTTCCGGAGAGATACGAGTGCTAAGATAGTGAGGACAACACCAAGAATAACATACACAAGATTCAAGGCTATCAAGGCATAAAAGGGCGCTATCGGAATTCATGTGGTGGGAGTTTATGCTCTTCGCGTGACTTTGGTAGGTGGACGTTGCGCCAGTATCCCAGCCGGCATTGAGACAGCGATACGGTCCCAGGCTCTTGCGAATTAATCGGCCATTTCTTAAGCTGTTTGGGCAACAGCTGCAGTCTGTGTTATCTCTTGATCAAGATTGATCACGGTTCCGTCCGGTGCACTAAGAGGACCTGCAAAGACCTGTGCTGCGCTATCATTGAGTAGCTTTGTGGCTTACGTAGTCATGGTACCGCTAGACATGGAACAATTCTCATCTCGTTGTCAGCAGGGCGAGGAAAACGTCTCGGATATCGCTTCACTTACCCCTTGCGAGAGGTTCGTCTTGCACAACAGCACCCCTCCGCCATATTCAATGCTGATGTTCTAAAGACCAAGGCTCTTGAAAATGTCTCCCCCACCCATCCGGACAGTACTTGATACCTGGTCTGGTCGTAAGAAAAACTCCAAGCTCAATTCCAATTGCGACGTTATACTGGCCAATTCATCATTGTGAAGCTGTTTGGTGCCATCGACATAGAATATTAATTTAGGAGTTGATCCAGACTGTCCCGGGATTGTACTTGTATTGACAAAAACGCCCAGTTCATCAATGTTACATTTGACCTGGGTAGTATAGTTCTGGAACCCTGTACAAAGATCCGTCACCATCTGACAAGATATATCTAAGCCAATGCCTGAAGCCTCATACTCAGATCCAGTGGAGGGTTCTGAGGGCCAAGTACTGTTTCTCCATTGCTCACTTGAATGCGGTTGACTTGTGACGTATCCTTTTGTGTAGCAGTAGCCTCTCCTTCGTCCAGAGTTGTTTTATCGTCACTGGGTGACTTCTGCATGTCATAGCTAAACAATTCGTTAAGCATACCGTCCCCAGATGCCCTGTTGAGACGTGAGAAAGGGAAGCCACGTCCAGGAGTAAAATCAGAGGAAGGGCTCTCTACATCGATGTGCTGGGTATAGCCTACAAATGCTGTAGTCTTATTGCACATGGCATTAGCTTGGTAGCAGCACTGGTAAGCCCAACACCCACCTTATCCAACTACGCGTCGGTGAGAATTACAAGAACACTAGAAACAAATGCGCGTTGTCAGCCTCAAGCTGAAACAATTACTAACCGTCATGGTCACTCACACTAGAAGGATCAAAGCCCAGCACCATGAAGAGCGCTTGCGCCAATGCCGGGACGACAGATATCCCCTTGGACTTCCGCACATATATCAGGTATGACCACACCGCCATCACAGAAGACTCAATCAACCTGATCAGCAGATCCAGTTGATAGGGAGAAAGTGGTCTAGGGGTTTCTTCTTGGTCGGAGCTCCTAGCAAGGGTCAGTGCTAATGGATAGGAGAATAGCACCATCGCAGGTGAGATGAGCAGCGTCGATACTCGATAACATAGAGGATATCAAGGCAATAAAGATGAACAGTGTGGCTAAAAAATCCACATAGTACGCCGACCCTAGTGGTAAGTCGGGCTGTTTCTTGGCTGAGTATCGTGGATGATGGTTGGGTATTTCGTGGATGTGGCCTAGACAGATCACAGTGACGCTTAGAATGAGTATAGGCAATGTCAGCATGGCACATGCAAGTAAGATATCGCCCTCCAAGTGATGGCCATCCCCTACCCATAAATCCTACCAATGGTGGTGGTGGCTTCGTGCGATCAGACTTCTTGTCCGACTACTTCTACTCTGGCTTGAAGCTGCGCAGTTATCTTTGGATGCATCTCGGTCGTACTCTTGTAGCTTTCTGCGATCTTGCTACCGTGAACACCCACAGAGAAAGATGAAAAGCCTACGCAAAAGACAGAGACCTAGTGCTGAAGAAAGATTGACAAGGCTAAAACGTAGGATCGACCCCCGCAATCAGCACCTTGCCTTGCTACATCGAGCGGTTGTTTCTTGCGACCTTCCTATCCAGGTATAACGTCAGCTTGGCAGGAGTATCTCGGAGAATTCAGGCTTATAAATCCGTGTGTCAGTCAATTGATTGGTTACAGTCTTTTGTCTGTGCTTTACAAGGAGAAAAAAGTTGGAAAGGTAGACTGGCTTGAAGTACCTTCCATGGGATATCAAAGCCAGATCCAAGAATAGAATGGCCTTCGGCCTCGCCAACGAGAAGGTCAATGCGAGAACAAAGCGGCTAGATGAGACCGCTGGTCGCTATTGACCACGACCAACGCAAAGGATAAGGCTGATACAATAGTTCAGCTGTGGACGGCTACCCCAGTTTCCCACTCATCACCGCCCCCGCCACCTCCCCCTTCACCACCCCACCGACCCCAAACCCCGTCCAAACCTCCTTCAAAACACTCCCTGCAACCCACACCCATCCTCCCTTATCCGTCTGCTGTATCCCCACCTTGCTCACCTCCTCCTTCTTTTCCTCCTCCGTCTTGGACTGATCATGCTCCCCGTATATCTCTTTAACCTTCTCCACGGCCTTCTCCTGCCTCTCCGTGGGCTCTAAGAACCCGCTCATCAGCCCATCCACCGTCAACCTCGCCTTGACTTCCTGTGCCTCACGAGGGTCTGTCAATACCCACGCTAGCACAGCCACGGCGACGGAGCCGAGAGCGTAGACTGCTTTGAGGCTGATGAGGAAGTAGAGCGGGATCTTGGGCACGCGGGTGAGGAGCTCGGTGTTGTTGCGGGATTGCTCGAGCATGTTGACGGAGGGCTGCATGATGCCTGCGGTGAGCGCGACAGCGGCGCGGGAGAATTCATCCGCGAATTTGTCCGCCATGTCTTGTGGGGTGGTCTTGTAGGCTGCGAGGGCGGCGGCGTCTTGGAGGGCGAGGTGCCCGAGGGCGGAATTGATGGCAAAGGGGGCGGAGTAGATGGCGCCGTAGTCTGGGGAGGCTAGAGTGGGGTAGAAGCCGGAGGTGTTGTTGGCGGCGAGGATGGTGCCGTTGGCCCAGGCGTAGATAGTGGTATAGATGCTGGCCGTGCAGTTGAGAATGAAGATGTTGTCGCCGGATGAGGAGAGCTGGAGGTATTTGCCCTGCTTCATGGCGTCGAAGGTTTGCGTTATGGTGTCAATGGGCGGAAAGCCTTTGGACCAGGTGAGGAAGTGGATCGGATTTTGGACGCTGAAGAGTTCGGTTGTCTGGTTTCCGAGGCCGATGGGCGACTGCAATGCAGCGTCTTTGAAGAACTGAATGCCAGTCGCAGACATGTTGCTCGGAGCGGCTGCCATTGCAGGATCAAAGCCGACATCTCCTTGGAAGGTGAATGATGGCGAGGTGTAGCCATAACAAGAGAACCCATCCTTGTTCCTTTCAATCTGGCAGTCTTGCGTTGCTACCTTGCACTGGGTGCTGACAGCAGAAGTATTCGCCATGAAGTCGAGCATTTGTCCAGTACCGACGTCTGCAAGATAGTGGTACTGCTGAGGAGCCTGCTGATATGCACCATATGAGGTGTTTTGTATCTGGTTCACGTATGAGTTGCCAAGGAGGGTCTCTGCGGCTGACTGAGCTGCCTTGATGCCCTCCTTCACTGAGAAACTCCCTTCGGATGTAAAGTTCCAATGATCAATGCTGCATGGGTAGTTGCAGAGGGTTTGTGAATTGGATGGGCATGGCCTTTTCTCCCAGATATTTCCTCCACACATTGCAGGATTCAGTTCACGCCCAAAGGTATTGTTGGGTTGCAGGTGGCGAGTCAGGAGTTCGACGTTCATCGGCTTTGTCGAGGCTGCAAACCATGTGTCTGCTGCGCCAATGAGGAGTCTGCCAACACGAATTTATCAGCACGTATTGAATGAATTAGTGGCGCAAGGAGGCCTCACGTAATGATGACAATAAAGCTGAGTGCACTAGCAGCGAGTGGTATAGGCTGGACCAGGCGCTCATGGTTCTCCAGCCGGTACGCAAAGGTGTCCCACAGAGGCTTGACATCAGCTCCCCCAAGCAAATTGATCAAGATGGACATCTGATGAGGTGTTGGCAGCTCGCCTGGCTTCTTATCCCTCGTCGCGTTGAGGATGCGACGGCCAGCGAAGAAGGCAATAACAGCCATGGACGAGCTGGTGATGAATGGTATTATCTTGCTTGTCCATGATGCGATCGCTGCAAGCACAGCTGGATTGAAGCGGATATAGTAGGCAGGGTGACCACCAGATTGTTTGATCTGGAGAGCTGCTTTGAAGATGTTGGGGTCGTAGATGTCTTCTTGGGTCGGCGCGTGGAGGAGTGGCCATCCTTGGTCCAGGTTGACGCGATTTCGGAAGATCAGAGTGAGTAGTAAGGCTGTTACCAAGACTACCGGCACGCAGGGCAGAAGAGCCCCAAGGAAGAGGTCGGGCAAAGCGCCTTGGATTTTGGGAGCTGGTTTCTGGCTCTCTGTGGCGGCGTCGGAGGATTTCAGTTCTTGGACTGTTGATGTGGTGGTGGTGGTGGAATATGACTTCTCTTCGGTGATGGAAGGCTTGAAAGCCTCCGATGCAGATGGTTGTGCCATTGCAGACGTGGTCGTGGCTTTGAGGGAAGGGATCAAGATGGGCACTTGCTTTCAGAGAGAGGGCATGCCGTTGAAATATGGCGATCAATGGCCGCGAGGTACTTGGACACCCCCAAGTTGGGTCACCCATATCGACCGATTGAAGACATAACGACGGTCCATCAGGGAGCTCTGACAAGATTGGTCGCACGTGGTGGTTGTCGACAATCTAGATGCTTGACATGGACCATTTGCCACCTGAATGGCTGAGCAGCGACGAGCTGAATAGGGGACCATCGAGTGTCTGGACTCGGGAGATATGGTCGCATTGATATTGATTGGTAGATTGCTCGGCGTCTTGAAGCCACAAGATGCATGTGATAACATGTAGGATAGTAGGATAGTAGGCGCACAGACATCGACGACAAACATCCTACCAGAATAAGTTAAGGGCAGACCCGTGTGACAGCGGGCTGGGCGAGACCGTTGTGGGTTGTGCCAGTAAGGTAGTGGTGAAGTTGTTAGTCGTTCCATAGTGTATCACTACTGGCTGTCTGATAAGAAGAAGACGAAGAAGTGGGAGAAGAAGGTGGCTTGAGTCTGCATGCTGTATTGGCCGGCGCAAGCCACATTGTGACCAGCAAGGGCTGAATGGCCGAATGGGGAAATAGCGAGCCTGGTGGGCGTTCTAGACCTGCTGTCGCAATCATCTCCTGATCCCACACCTATAGCCTTATTCTGCGATAGCTTCAGTGATCAGCAAGACGGCGGTCTTGCCACCGACCTATTCATCAATGCTTTCCTAGCCTTTCTGGTCTTGTGAAAAGCCGGCGGGAGTTGAGATTCTCAGTTCGGAAGAGAAGTCACGTAGTGCAGTCCTCGACTGATTTACCAGACAGACGATTTCCCTGACCGTAATTGTCTGCGACGTGTGTAAGGCCGCAGAAGGCCCAACACCCCGCCCATCGGGGGCTTCATCGCTTCTCTATCTCGTCAACATTTAGACTAGGCACGTTCTTTCATGCACCATCACCCTACAACCTCGCTATGCATTATCATCAAGGGTGCTCGGCCGCCTAGCCCCGCTCACAACCTAGCGCAGCAGCTCTCTACATCCCCGACAGCCCCGTTCTCCATAACTCATTCAGGTAGTGCTCGGCGGAGGCGAAATCCGCGCAATCCCCACTTCCCCTTTCTCCAGCCGCCCCAGTTCTTCCAAAGGCGTAAGAATCCGCCCCCCCTTCTGCTCCGTACATGCATGCTCCAGCCTAGGTACATCTGGCCGGGAGATATCCTGCACCTTGCGGTACCATTGCACCCTCCACTCCGCCGGCGTATCGGGCCCCCATTTCCAATCCAAGCCCTTTCGAGCTCTTTTGCTGCGGCGCATGGCCCAGTGGCTTTCGGAGTCGATCTGAGCCTGGCTTTCTGAGTCGAGGTCTTCATATTTGGAGAGCATCTCCTCCTCCTCTTCTTCTGAGCCCCAGATGGCGGCTCGTTTCGTTCGTTGTTGTTTGTCCCCTTTCTCTCCTTGCCCTGTGCCTTGCGCACCCCGGCCTGCTCTCTCCTTACTCGCAGGGCCTGCTTGACGCTGTGGGCCATCAGGAAGGGCTTTGTGGCTGGTTTCTGAACTGCCGTCGTTTGAAGCGGAGGAAGGGCGACGAAGGGGATGGGGCCGCCGTTTTGGAGTCGAAGTGATGTTGAGTTTGGATTCGAGTTCCCGCAGTTCTCGTTCATGATCGGCGTAGAGTGTAACTAAATCGGAAAGCTCTGCGCGAACGTCGGGTGGCCAGATCTCCGCGCGAGAGGCCAGGGTCTCGAAAGTTCTCGCGAACGCAGCTCCAGGACAGCCGTGCCAAGACTTAGAATCTTTGACAAAGCCAGGTGGAATCCTCTCTCTTGAAGGAATATTCGGAAAGTAGTCCTCGAAGAAGAATTGTCTGTAGAGCCCGCCTGGATGGGACGAGGTGATAGCCTTGCTCTTCACTTGATGCTTTCTGTAATCGTCCGCACTGGGAGTCTTGCGTGGGGCCCACTCTTTATTCATCTCTATCATTTCCTTCCGCAGCCTGAAGTCGATGTCCTCGAACTGAGTGAAGTATGCGATTTCTGTAGGGAAGAAGGTAATGCCGGGACAATAGAAATTGTCAAATTGGGCGTGGCAGAGCTGACAAAGGGCGACGCCGTTGGCTGCATCTTCAAGACGCTCAAATGCGACCTGACCCTTCTTTTTTAGGTTCTCGATCAACTGCAGGAAGGTCAGAGAGAATATAGAGGCAAGAAGACTCGTACAGACCTAGCCTGACCGACGTGGTACAACGTGGGCTGCGATCCTGCTGGAGCTTTCACAGAACCAGCACTCATCGTTGCACAACTCTATGATATGCTCCTTGACGCCTTCAGAGAATATGCTTCCAACACGCGGGTTGCTAGCGACATCTTCCTCCAGCTGCGAGTGTTTGCGCTTCAAAGAATGGGAGGAGCGGGAGTTCGATCGTGAGGGTAGTGCTGGGGGCTCCATTGACCTTGATTGGTGGCCAGACATAGTGCGAAGCTTGAAGAGCGAGGAAACGAAGAGTCGAGGGTCTGCATCAGCAGCGAAGTGCATGCATCGATGCTTACATGGTGGTTTAATTGTGGGATTGAGGACCGAATTTCACGGGAGAGGGATTAGCCCCCCTGGTTTAACAATTTTCCGCTCCGACATTTAGCGTGTATTCGGGTAAAGCTCGGAAGCTAAATCCGCCAAGGCTTTGCAGGGGTGCCAAGGGAAGAGATCAACCACAATGATATCAATATACGAGCGATAGCAGTTGTGGATTCTGAGGCCACTGTGCTCTAATAACCAGCTATCGATTTCTTTCTCCCGATTTTGACTCCGTAGCATAGCTTATCACAATGGAGGGAGATACCCATGTGATGGGTTATGAATGAGAAAGGTCCGCAACTATCTAGAGCGGCACAAATAGATATCGGCAATGTCGCCAAGGGGACGTGCAGTCAATGAATCTCAACAACTCCATCAAAACTCCACCTCGAGAGACCGAATCGGCGTTGCGAAGTCTTAAGTGAGCAGGGCCCTCTCCGTCACCTGAGGGTTACGCCTGACACCAACGCTCTCCATTGTCTCCGGTGTATATTATGTCCTCACGTCATCAATCATTTCTGGTCTAGGTTTGAATCAAGAGAGGCAGAACGAAGGTCGGTGTTCATACTCCAACTTTCGGAACTGTGGAAGTTGGTGCTGCAGTCAAAGGGGTGGATAGGCGAGGTCTTTGCTAGAAGAAGTGACAAGGGGTTGGGGACGCTGTGCCAACATCTCATTACATAGTTATTTCCCCCGCCTCAACGATGTCTCACCAATTGGTCACCCCATCCTTCACGGCAACAGCAGTGGCAATAGATTCACCATATTCTCCCACCTACATCAACGGCAAGCAAGATCAGCTTTAAATTAACGACTGAGGACGTTTAGCATCTACCCTCAACTCCCCTAGGTAGCGAAAGCTCACGGTGGAGCTCCCACTGACTCACAATTATGATGTATTCCTTGACGACGTGTGTCATCGCCTCAGGTACACCTCTCCTGCCTGAGGAGCTTTCTGGTGTAGAAAAACACGCCGCAGGCCTTCGTAGTCTCATAGCTGAACACCAACCGCTTGCTGACCAATGTATAATTTTCCTACAGCGGTTACACATCAGAACTGACTCTGACAAAATTTAAATGTAATTGCCATGTTGATAGCTTCATCAGTTTCTCGCCATTCAAATCGCTGAACATGGCCGTGGTATACACCTTCTTTGGTGAGCCTTATGTACTTCTTAGGTACTGGAGCTAAGGCTGATATATCTTCACAGATCCAAAGTCGCATACATTGCGAGCCCGCGTCCCAAGGCGACTCAGTCAATACACTAATCTGACGCCGTTAAATTCCTCCCTCACTCTTGCGGTCTCCCCTTCTCCTATATCATAAACCGCTGCAATCGCCGGAATCTCTCGACTCCGCCGTCCACGCTTAACCGAAGTCTCTTTCTTGCCTTTTGAACCTACCTGAAATGTCTACAAGCTCTCAGCAGGCTGTTGAATTAGCGAAGAGATCGAGGGTATGGAGCAAACCAGTTGGTTTTTAGCAGACTGACTCGGATGGCGACTTAAATCTTATTGCTTACGGGTAAAGAAGATTCGTGTTACCGATGTCTATGAATGGCCTTCGTCAGGCGACGAACTCATCTGTCAGCGAGAGGCGCATCGCTGGAGGTATCAGATCTTGGTCACCAGAAAATAGCGTTTGGCATGAATCTCTAGGCAAGTTTTATTACTCCCTGAATGCCACACTACGCCACCAGAGACACTCCAAACCACCTATGTAGTTCTGAAGGGTGAGGGAAAATCAAGACTGAACAGGCTAAGAGGTCGAAATAGTCATTTTGCACCTTCAACCTAGGACAGCGCCGACAGCGAGACGTGCAATCGACAAGACACGTGAGAAGTTACGGCGGAATACTAGAGGTACAATCCTGAAGACAAGAGACAGAAACGTTGTATGAACTTCTAGGCTCCCTGCCTGGTCGGAACCCTCATAGTATTAGGAGCTAGGCACTATCTACTAAAGGGCGGAACCCTTGGTGATGAAGCGGATCTGAGAAAGGCTAGCTAGACATCTGTGAACAGTACGAGAGAAAACAGCAGCGCTACTATCCTCACCGCCATGGTTCGCCATATTATTCTCGATCACGCTGCAACCTCAGATGTCGGTCGTAGAATTGCTAGGGAGGCGAACAGGATAGATTGCTAAAGTAGGGAATGCTAGGAAAGCATGATAGGGTTTGGAAAGACTGCATACTAGATTCTCCACATCGTCATGGTTGAACCTGTGAGTCTATGCATACAGCAATTTCGATGCACGATGCTCATGCTCTTCTTAACTGCAAAGTGTTTTTGTACGCCCTCTTCGCGCAAGCTCTACCTCCGTCTTATCTGGTACAGTACCTAACAGTCAGCTATAGACGAGCTTCAAGGTATGAAAGCCACTATGGGGATCCCTTGATTCGTAGCTCATGCCTGTATTGGCCATAAGAGCACGTAACGGGCTCTGTTGAACGTGGTGGAGCTGGGACTGCGAGAACCGTGACATTGACCGCGGTAGCTTCCCTTGTTGGTGCTGTATCGGCGGCGCTGCAGGATGTGTGGGAATCCTCTGGGTTTGCGAGGTCGTTCAGGCTTTTTTTCTAAACCTGGGTCTGCTTCCGGCCTTGCTTGCTCTAGCTGGCTAGGCAAGGGTGCATTGCACTGACTTTGGAGGCGTTGTGTGACTTATATATAATCATTCCCTTTCATCGAGCACGAATGATAGCGTGCGCTTTGTGATTGACTGCGACGACAAAGCAGACACAAGCTACTCTCCAGCTGAACATGCAAGCGGAGTCCCTTTCGTGTTGCAATAACAAAGTGCTAAGAGGGACCGTCGCACATTCGTATGCACGATTGCGGTTGTTCAAGCACATCCTTCATTTCGAGGACCCAAGATGCAGGGTTGCACTGCGCGAATGTTGGAGAGTGCGCTGATGGAGAGTGGGCCGGTCTAGGCTGGAATATGATAGTGTAGGAGGTTAGTGGGGGATTCACTCAAAGCCGAGGAGGAGCTGGGGGAAAAGACATTGTGTATTGACTTCTCCGTAAAGATGTTGTTGAAGATGGACGGTGCCATAAGGAAAACAAACGACTTCGCGATTTGAAAGCAGACCGCACCTAAAAGACGATGGTCACAAGCGCACTGAGACGCAATCCATTCAGAAGATCACAGCCGCGGCCTCTAGTCATAAAGGCGGCGCAACATCCTGTCTCTTCTTCATCTTCTAAACCACAATAGTTGCAACCTCCAAACACATTCCTCCCTTTCTGCTCCCTCCAAACCTTCGCCAGCTCCTCATAGCCTACAACACAGCCTAATACGTAGGCTTCCCTCGTTAGCCTATAATCCGAAGGCCGTCTAATATCAATGTCAGTCATAAGAATCGTGTCGTTGAGAGTATCACTGCTTTGCTGAAAATCGCCTCACCTGCGCTACATGTATATCGACGGATACCTGAATGCGTCTCGAAATCTTTTGTTTGCTAAAGAGAATGAGTGAGTATGAAACCAACTTCTCTCTCTCCGTTCCTCTTCTCTTCCTCACCTATTTCTCTTGTCTTTCTGCGTTCAATCACATCATTAAGTTTGTGTTGTCTGTCAACTTTTGACAACTATCTCGCATGCCCTCAACCGTTCTGTATCTCTACGACTCAAAGGGTGCTTTAGAACTTTGCGGTAGGAAGTATTGTGTGTTCACTACTGGTCACTCACATAATGTCTCATGATGCTCTTCCAAGACTCCCAACGCTTCTTACGTCACCGACTCTCTCAACGGCAAGCATATCGGACCATTCTTCCGTTAATTTGATTAATTTGATGACTTGGGAAGCTGGAGCATCTCCGGAGCCAGACGACCATAACTTTGCTAAAGTCAATGACAACGACATGGACGTGGAGACTTATGTAGCCACCAAGGAGACTGCGGTTGATGGGCAGCCCAATGACACAGTCTTTGCTTCAAAATCGTCTTTAGTGGCAGAAAAAGGACCGATAGCGAGTATTATGTTCGTTGACGCAGCAGAGGCAACATTAGCATCCATTCAGACTAAAACCAAGCCCTTAAGTTCAACTGAATGAGAAATAATGGACGCGGCTGCAGCCAAAGCCATCCAGAACGCCAATGAACCATCAGCTGGCCAGCAACCTAATGAACTTAAGCCCTATGCTTCCACGGAGCGCTCTCTCCTCATAGTGCCCAACTCAGACCCCGAGACCAGTAACAACAATGTAAGCCGCTGCGTCCACCCACTGAATGAAGAAAGCGACGCTCAATGCCGTAATCAGGCTCTAGATCAAGACCAGGCAAGCTCTAGCTCTCAAAATGTGAATGGCATCGAGCTAGGGGCACTCTCTAACCTTAGCAAGGTATATACCTCGCGCGATGTAAGGCGTATCCAATTTTGGCCTTTTTGAGAAGCAGGCGGTGTGGCTTGTGAAGAATGGAGAGATACGTCTGCCAGCTCATTTCCATCTGTAGACGTTTTTGCCTGCTATGGCTGTTTGTTACACATGTCCTGCCGTCCGCTCTTGTCCAACGCTGTCTCCTTGTGTTTTGCAGCTCTCCATCTTTGCGTCGCGCCCCAGTCCTCTATCTTACTTTTCTTTTTTCCCTTGAAGTTTAATACATTTGTATTTGATCAAAAGCCTTTGTAGAAGAAACCTGTTTCTTCTTGAAGCCGCTGTCCCATCTCCTTCACTTTTTCTTACCCTACCACATTCAGCAGCATCTAGCTACTCCAGTACTGCATGGACACGTACATAAAATGGTTATCCCTCAAGCTTACACTAGCTGCACTCCGCTATATCAAGTAAGAAGGATTTCAAAGGCCAAATGAAGAACCAGAAGAAGGAAGAAAGAATATACGTCGTTGAGTTCTATGGAATCTGGGAGGGTAAAGTGGCTACGTGAGTATGGAAATAGATAATTTTTGAAAGGGGGAGGAGGGAAAGAAGTTGGGGCCCTAGATCAATCAGCTTGCCCAGACGATAACTTGGTTTACTGCTTGTTAGGCGTGAATAGTTTTTTTTGAGGAGCTCCGAGATGGAATGTAAGCCTCTTGTCTGTTCCATATTTTCCGCAATCGTCTTTTTCTATGCTAGGCATGCGCGGTATCAGTCACAAACAGTGCACAACTGAGCTTTACCGCACACATACTGGCGAAATGCCGCTTTGATACCATGTTAGAAAGAAGCGAGAGATGATTGGTCTTTTGAGGAAATAGAAGTCCTCGGGGACTTTTTTTTCTCTCGGCTTGGCAATAGGCCAGTTGAGTGGCTGTTTCGTCGCTGCAATTTCTTAAAGAATAATGTTGGCGTTTCTTATCAAATACGTCGACGCTGAATTTCGATTATTATCCCCCGAGAAAGGACCCATTTCTTGATGCATCTTAATATATACTTTTATTATTTATGTCTAGAGGAAAGACCTTTTCCCGTAGCTAGAAGGCTTGAAGCACAACTGGTCTTTCAGCGGAAGCCCATTCTCCGCTGAGATTTCTACTTAGTTTCTGTTCAGCTACTTAAGACATGTGCCTAACTCATTCTATTTAGAATAGCAATGCTGGTGGACCCTTCTCTGGAAATTGGTGCTATACAAAGCCTAGGGTCTGATCCCTAGCAAGCTCGGCGCTCATTGGGCTCACATATACTGAAGTGTCTACAATATGGAGCCAATTGCTCTAAGGAATTGCCAAAAAGACATTAGCTCGCGCTGTTCATGTACCACATGTTGTCGTGCGAAGTAGTGAGCGTGAAGGTAGTTGTCCGCGATTACATGAACGGGTATTGAATCTCACGCTCGCAATCTACTATGCTAGCGTGAAAAGCAGGGCACCGATGAGCAGGCGACTTGGCTTACCCTCTTCTGACCAGTGCCTCCCTCTCACCAGATCAATGACATTTCTTTCTGCGTCAAATTCCCCTACTCTGGACACAAGATTTGCCACCTCAGAAACGGCTTGGAGCAATATTTCACTGCGCAACGGAGAAAGAGCCGAGAAAGGCTAGACACTATACTACTGGTGCTGACCCTGGTTCGCTCAAGAGCTCGCCCAAGCATGAGGCGGCCTGACGCATGTTTTTCGTGGGGTAGATCGGCACGAGGAGTATGATGAGACAACAGCTCGTTGGGGGCGGGGGGGCGGCCAAGGTCACAGCCTTCTCCAAAGAGAACGAGGAGGTACGCGAAATCAACTAGCTTGCTAAGGACTCGAGAACAAAAGGGAGATGACCTGGTGGACACTCCAAAAAGGACATTTCTTCCAGCGGAGCCCAGTGAAGCCGCCCCAAATCAAATGCCTCTGCCTACTTCGATTGAAAGCCGCTGGATTAAAATTCATCCGGGATGGGCAAAAGGAAAGAGATGGCTAGATCTTGTGCATGGAAATCTTCACTACATCACACCACCATCAGCTGTAACAGTAGTCTTGCGTGTACTCGGTCCCGAAGCACATGGGTGGAAGCTGGGCAGCAGCGACAAAGTTCTCGCGTCGAATTCTCTCTTGTGTGTCTTTCTGGCCAAAAAGTTCGGGTAGTGGAGATAGAGAGTAAAATCAAGGCTACATTGCATTTACACTGGTCAGATCGTTCACGATTTCAAGAAGTGGCTATACATTGGGGTTGAGATCTGGATGTTTTGTTCAGAATGGTGATGAAGATCGGACTATTGGGCCTCTGTGTGACCTATAGCCGACCGCGATCGTCCTATGACGTTGGCACCAACACCCAACTCTCGGATACTCACTGTCAAATGAACTCTACGCGTTTAGTGATTACGTCGGCTTCTCCATCGCAACATGTCGGTCGAGTGGTTTGTACCTCGTCCATAAATCCCGCTCTGGTGCTGGGACACCTTATTTCGCTCGCCAACAGGAGACCTGCAGGATTATCGTTACCGTGAGGGGACTAAGAGAGCTTTATGCAGTCGTCAAACGCGAGAAAGGATTCTATGATCCTTAGGATGCCCAGTGCCTCAAGACAGTATCACCCTGCTAGTCATAATTCAAACTCGTACTTCAACATCTCAAGGTGTTTAGGCTTGTTCCCAGAAACCACAGCAGCGATAGCCTCTATGCATATCTCCGACGGAGCGTTGCGCGTCCTCGCTTCCTTCGCGTCCCGGAAGCAATCGTAGGCTTTGTTATCTATTAGCTATCAATAGCTTCTCTCGTCAGCATCTTGATCTTCCGCTATTCAATTGCTACACCTCTAGATATGAGCCTCTTTCATCTGTCATATCCATAATCGAGAGTTGAAAGCTCCCATATAGAACTCCTTCCCAAACGACAAGTATTAACCCTCTTCTAAACCCTCATACCATGTCCCCGAGCTTCTACGTAAATAATGCCATTATGGTCAGCATCGCCCACGCAATGATTCTATGTTGTAGATGAGCCCATACTATATACGGAAGCCAGTTCTAACTGTGGGGCTGGGAGAGGATAGGAAAAAGATGGTAGGCGACTCCTACAATCCTAAAACTTCCTGTCAAAGTAGATTTTGGCCTTGACGGTGGACCGACCATTGGGAGAATATGCATGATGCCTCCGAGTGTGCGAACGAGGACATAGGCTATGTCAGGACATAGCTACTAAGAGTGCTTGAAAATGTGAACACGATGGAGCTAGCGCAGGACCGGGGTTCAAATGTCATAAAGATAAATCAATAAGAACATTTCATAACGACAACAACAGCAAAGTGTCAATCACGATGCCTAGACTTATCACTATTTTTAAGTTTCTTAGAGATTTTAGAAATTTTCCAAAGGTATATACTATTAAAAGCTTTAATATTAATATTAATAAATATAGTCCTATATAAAAGTTAATTAAAAATATTCTTTTATAAAATATTAATAAAAATTAAAATATAATATTTAATTATTTAAAAAAGTTACTTTTTAATTAATAATATTAGTTTTTTTAAAACTTATAAATAAATACTTTATAAAAAGCTTTTACTGAGTACTTTTTATAATATTTAATAGAGTAGAGGTTAGTATATATAACTTTTCTTAATTTAGTATTATAAATACTTATTATTAAGAAAGAGACTTTTACTTACTCTTAAAATACTATTATTTTTAAAATATTAATACTCTTAATAATATTATCTCTAAGTTATTACTATTTCTAAGTCTTATATTTAGAAATATAAAGATATATTAATAAGAGTAAGATAAAGTAATATAGCCTTTTTATTAACTTATTAACTAGCTTATTAGTTAATTAGCTATTTATCAATTAAAATAGTAAATAAAGTTTATAAATCTAATTAAGGTAATTAATAAAAGAAATATAATTTATTAATATATTATTTATATTAGCTTTTAATTAAAAGCTTTTATTATTTTAATTAATATTAATTTAAACTTAAGAAATAAAATATTAAATTAAAGCTAGAAATTAAAACTTTTAAATAAAATAAAAGTTAAAAGAATTTAATACTATTTAATAAAATTCTTAATTATAAGACATTTAGTTATTATATAGAAAATGTAAAAAAAGAAATTCTTTAAATCTCTAAGAAGTTTGAATATAGGGGTGTTATACTTCTTTTGGTCTAGAGAGTTCTATGTACCAAAGTGTTAAAGGACAAGTCCAACACTCTACACTTGTACCACCTATGGAATTGAAATTAAAAATCTATAGGAAGTATATCGAGCCGTCTCTCTATCTCCAAATTAAGTAGAGCCAGTAGTAGGTATTTTCAATGGCATTAGTCATCACTAGAAATTATGAAAGCTTACGGAAGAACATTATAGGGAGAACCACGCTAGGCAGCACGAATTTACTTTATATTAGATGAGGAGAAGCTAAAAATAGCGGAGACAAAGCTGGAGGCCGCAGACGAGAAATTGCAAGTGGCAGAAGAAAGAGTAGATGCTGCGGAGGAAAAGCTACAGGTGGCTGCAGAGAAGGTGGATGAGGCGGATGCGAAATTAGAGGCGGCGGAAGAGAAGTTGCAAGTGGCAGAAGAGAAGGTAAAAGAGGCGGACGCGAAATTAGAGGCCGCGGAAGAAAAGTTGCAAGTGGCATAGGAAAAGGTCGATGTGGCGGAATGGAAGCTAGAGGCTGCAGAGGCGAAGTTGCAAGCAGCAGAGGGAAAACTGGAAGCGGTAGAATGGAAGCTTGAAGCAGCGGAAGAAAAACTACAGGTGGTAGAGTGGAAGCTTGAGGCGGCGGAGGAAAAATTACAGGTAGTAGTAGAGAAGGTAGATGCGACAGAATGGAAGCTTGAGGCAACAGAGGAGAAGCTAGAAGCCGCCAAGGAGCAACTTCTATCAACAAAAGACAAGCTCGAATGCGTCGAATACAAGCTTGAGGCAGCAGAAGAGAAGCTTCAGGCGACGGAAGACAAGCTAGAAGCCGCGAAGGAAAGGTTGGAGGTGATGGAACAGCAAGATAATGACCGAAGGTAGGAGGAGATTGCAGAGGCGCTGAAGACATACCCTAGGCGCCAAAATCTTCATATCTTCTGTGACCTTTGCATTCATCGAGACTATGTCTCCTTTCTTGGTTCAAAATTGCAATCACGTCGTCACCATTTTTAATATGACATCAGCCCTCTTAAAGTTGGGTGTGGGCGTCGGGTCAACCTTCATAATAATCGTCGCCTCTAGAGCGCGGTTGATGTCAAAGATTCGCTAGTTGATATATTGATGCTAGCTCAAGTCCTACGTGGCTATGTTGAGGTCTAGCTAATGCGGGGTGAAAGACACTTGTATCTACCTTTCTTTGTACGCCTTAGGACTTGGTGAATTGATAACACGACCACAAAGTTGCTGAATCTAGATACATCCTCCTCGCCAAACTCGCGCCCTTCTCGTAAACACCAATGGCTGGATCAGACCCAAAGGACACTCCTTAAAAGCCATACGCGGCTGCTTGCTCTGAATTCCCCCTACACATACGCATATAGTACATGGTCCCTCCCCTCTCAGCATCCCACAAAACCCACAGGAGCTGTATCTGGCGAATTTGCATCCGCTAACACAGAGATCCTGCGATAAGGAGGCAGTAAGCCGCGCGCCAAGGCCCACATGAGGAGGTAGCGGGTGTACATTGCATTTGTGAGCGATCGCCTAGCTAGATGCTAGAACTAGGTGCACGGATAGGGTCGAAGGCGCTTTAAGAGGCAAGGTTGAGGGTGCGGTGTCTAAGGGAGGAAAAGAATGAGCGGGTTTGATGGGCTACGGAGAGATTAGGTATAGTGAGGAGACTAGGTGAGGGGATTGGGTGAGGTTATCGTTGTTTGGGGTTGAGTGGGAGCTTGATTCGATATCAAGCTAGCTGCGGTAGATCTGCATCGGGACGCTGACTCTGTTGCTCATGAGATTCGAACCAGAAGACCATCAGGACTATATAGTGTGGGGCAAGCTTAGGGATTAGAACGTGCGCCTTTTTCAATTTCGACTGCGCACACGCATGACGAGTTGCACTTTCCAAGAGCTCTTACTGTTTTGAATGATGTGGGGTTCAATTCGACTGTGGCTGCTGAATTGATTCAATAGCGAGGCCGCTGCCCTCTAGCTCGAATCCAAATGCATCATTAAGAGCAGAACTATAAATTGATGACGTGTGGTTTAGAATAGTAAGCTCGAGACTTGTCATAGCCGTCTGGTGGATCTAATTGCATTATTCTTTGCGAGTGCTGCTAAGGCACCGTCAATGCTGCTGTTACCTGCTACAAGGCTCTGCTCCGCTGTCGAGGGGTCTTAAATCCCCGTGTGTCGTCAGAGTAGCTTGTGATCTCGAAGAGCTCTTTAAAGGCCTAAAGTTTGAAAACTAGCTCTATATATATATTTTTTAGAAAGATGTGGTTGCGATCTGCAATTGGGCTCCTGACGGGAATATTCGCTGTGGTGTGGTCTGGATCAGAGGACTAGAGTGCTGAAATGGAATATAGATGTGAGACCACTGGTATTTGTCAATCAATTGACGCCTCATTCAGCACTAATCACAAACAGCCAAGCTGTCGGGCCCAAGATTCGTTCAAGAGTAGAGTCGCATGTATAGAGCCTGCTAATCCTCCAAATTCTCTCCGCATTCTCAATCAGAAGATCCAGTTGACATACCACTTCAGTTATTCTCATACATTATCTTACTGATTTGGTGGGAATCCCTCAAGTCTTCACTTGTAATAGTATTAGAGAGAGTCAAGTCAGACAAACATAGCTTCATGATATTTGATACTAAAGGCAAGGGAGAAGTGAAGACTATTATATTTTGAAAGAAGTGAGCAGTATTGACATGGAAATGGATTTATGAGCGACGTATATTCTTGAGAAGCTTGCTCTCTTCTTCCAACATCGTGTAATACTACTAGTGGCTCAAGCCTAGTAAATCTTTATACGCTTCTAAACGTGAGTGATTCAATCGCAAGACTTTGTGTAGACCCTCAAACATTGCGACCAGCGCGCAACGTCTTCGCCACGAATCAAAGCCATGAGCAGGTATTGGAGCTCGCCCACCGCATGGAGGCAATCAAGACCTATACCTGTCCCCGTAAATACCAACTCAAGTGACCCAAGTAAAATACCGTGTCGCCTTGCCCCTTTAGCAGATAAAGGCCGGGCTGATTTCATTTACAGCCCCTATCGTACCCATAACGCGACACGATCTCCTCAATCCATGCGTGACGCCCGCCTACACGATGCTTGCCGAATTCCGAAGCGTATATGAGAGCTCTTGTGTTCGGCTCCAGTCCGCTATCGAGACTATTCAATTACTGCAGGCAGAGATCGACTATCTAAAACAATCTCGCACACTCGCTGAGGAGACGAAGAAGGCTCAGTCCAAGAAAGCTGGAACTTCGCCGCTGGAGCTCCCAAGAGAGGTAAAAGAAGACACCACGCATATAAAAGTCCTGGGAGAGAAGATTGCTTTGTTGCAGAAAGCATATATTAAGAGAATCAAGGCTCAGGAGGCATGTCTCGTCGACGCGGAGAACTTGCGGCAGGGAGGGAAGATGCTAGTCTTTCTGGAGGGGAAAGAGGGGTGAGTTGCCGGATCAGAATGAAGAATGAGAGATAAGTGGTGAGATTGTGACAATGAGCTGCACGATTGAAATTCGCCAGACTCAAAGACAGCTCTTACTCCTTGTCCTTATATTAAGACCTAGCTAAGGCATGAATGACATCCAACAACATTTCTTTAGCTATTCTTCCAATCAGCCGTACTTGCGAAGGCGATGCATAGTTCAAGTGGCAGCCTAAGTTCTTATTTACTATATTCGTGAAGTTATAGCTAACGGTTTAGATATAAAGCATCTTATAAGGTGTAAGCTTAAGCTTGCGCAATGTCTCTTTCGAGACTATCTTTATATAATAAGTTGCGAAGCATTAATCTATAGTAAGACGCTATAGTAAGTATACGAGAATATATTATAAAGGGTCTATATTATGTAAATAACCCTAAAAATAACTCCCTAGGAATTTATTTTAGAAAATTAAGTATTAAGTTATCTAAAGTAAGAATAAAATTATTAAATACTTAAGTATTTTATATAGAAGTAAGGTATTTTAAAATAAATAGTAAATTAAGACTTATTAAAGATATAAATAAACTTTTAATAATAAAAAGTAAATAAATATAAAAAACCTATTTATAAGTATATATATTAATATTTTATATAGCTTCTTGTTACTTATTAATAAATATTTATAATACTTTAATAAAGAATATATTATTTAATTATTATAAAGTTAAAAAATTAAAAAAAATATATAGCTTTTTTATTTTAATAATAATATTATTTAAAAATAAATATAATAAAGTAAAAGTAATTATTTCTATTATTTATAAGACTTAGATTTATTTTATTTCTATTATATTTATATTCTTATATATTCTTAATATTAAGTTACTTTTCTTATTTTATTTTATATTTAAATTATTAATAAAGCCTTTTTTTATAAAAAATCTAGTTTAAACTAATAAAATAAAGAAAAACTATAATAGTTTCTAAGATCTAGAGCTAAAGATTTAAAAGGAAGTATATTAAATTTATTATTAAATTTAAGTCTTATTTTTAATTTTATAAATAAGAATATTAAAATTATTAATAAGTATATTTTTTTCTTTATTAGATTTAAGACTAATATATTATATATTTAATTATTATAGTTTTAATACTTTACTAATAAGTAGTTATTATTTTTTAAAATATTTAAATTATATTATTATTATTATATATTTTTTAAAAATAATATTATAAAAAAGAGAAATATATATTAAATATATTGTTTTTTTTTTTAAATTAATTATTAATATTATATTTTTAATAATTTTTTATATTAATTTATTTTATATAAAAGATCTAAGTTTTTTAAAGTTAAAATAATTAATTATATTAAACTTTTTAAATATTATTTTTAAATATTCTATAATAAATAATATACTTTATTAGCTTTATTTTCTAAGAATTTTAAACTTCTTAAGAATATAGTAAAAAACTATAAAATTTATAAAAAATTAAATTATATTTATAATATAATTTAGAAAATTATAATAAATAAAGATTTCTAGTTTCTTTAGTAGCTATAACTCTTTTATATTATATTATATAAATATAAAATAAAAGATAAAGCCTTATCTAGCTTCTATTTTTATATAGTTATATAATTATTTATATAAAATATAATTATTTAAATATATTTCTTAAAAAGTCTTAATAAATTAAATTAAAGATAAAATACTTTAATTTATAATATTTTATATTAAAGAACTTTATAATTACTTACTATTACTTAGATAATTAAATAATAATATTTATTTTAATTAATAACCTAATCTTAAAATAACCTAATAGCTTATTTCTTACTAAGTAAATACTAGCTCTTATCTTAATTATAATATATATTAACTAAATTCTATTAAATATAATAAGAGCCTTTATCTTTTAAGCTCTTCTTAGTATCTTAATTATAACTATTTAATAATAGTAATTAAGATAAGATTTTATCTTATAATTTTTTATTAATGTAATATTAAAGATAATATATATTTTTAATAATTTAATACTAAAATATCTATATTTAATATTTCTCTTTAAAAGTACTAATATAATTATAAACCTTATATAAGATTTAAGAGTTAAATTAAATTTAAAAAGAATCTATATACTAAATACTTATAAAAAGTATTATTTACTAACTAGTTTATTAGTCTACTATAATATCTATAAATAGAGAAGTCTCCCTATAACTAGAATTAAGATTTACTCTACTATATTTAAGATATACTAATAGATTTCTATTAGACTAGTAATAATTACTTTAATACTAGTATTTTTCTATAATCTTTTAAAGATAAAGAAGATACTATATACTTTACTTACTTTTAGAAGATAAGAACTTTATTTCTAGAAAATTTCCTAAAAGTTATAATAAAGTATAATAAAAGATTTAAAACTATAGTAAAGAGTCTAGATTTATTTAATATTCTTTATATTATATAATATTTCTTTAAATCTAAATATTAGATTATTAAACTCTACTATACTCTAAAAGTAGTTATTAGTATTAACTTAATTCTAATATACTATAGTATTACTAAGTATCTTAAATAAGTTATTATAAAAGGTACTTAATACTTTATTAAATTTATTATATTCTATTCTTTACTTTATAATATACTTTAATATCTAATTAAAAGATTATAAAGCTTATTAGAACTTAATTCTTATTTAAGTACTTTAAAATCTATTTAAATCTTTTTATAATCTAGTAATTATAATTATACTTTAGAATAATTGAATACTAGTTTAATAAGCTACTTATAAACTTCTATAACTATATTTTAAAGAGAAAAGATAATATCTTATAAAGGTTTTAATAATAATTACTTTACTTATAAAGTAATTAATAATAAATTATTTTAAATATATTTAGTTTTTTATATTCTTTATATTATTAATAAAAATTATAAAAAAGCTAGTTACTTTATAATATATAAAACTTAAGTTATTTTAAGTCTTTTATTATTATTATAATTAATAAAAAATACTAGCTATTATTTTTATTAATAGATTTATAATAAGGAAAATACTATCTAGAGCTATATAAGTTAGTTATAAAGTATTAGTATTATAAATTATAATAAGAGTAGGATAGAAATATTCTAATTAGGCTTAGCTTAGCCCTACCTAGCTTAGTATAAGGCTTTACTTCTACTATAGCTTATTAAATAGCTTATAATTAATCTATTACTAACTAACTAAGGTATGTTATATATATTACTTATTAAGGTCTCTATATATTATGTTTTCTTATAATTAAAACTTCTTACTTAATAGAGAATATTATATAATAGTTTAAAAAATAAAATTTAAATTTTTATAAGTAAAGACTCAAGACTTAATAGTAATTAATTATATTAAAGTTATTAATTTCTTATAATAATTTTAATTAATAGAGTTATTCTAAATACTTAGCTTTAAAGTCTATAAGCTAGACTTTAGTACTACTTACTTATAATTATTTTATTATACCTTTACTTCCTATTAAGACTATTAACTAAATAAGTTTCTTTAATTTATAGAGACTTAGCTAAAGCTATTTATACTTTATAAAGAAACTTTTACTAAGTTAAATCTACTCTATAATCTAAAAAAAACTTTATTACCTTTATTATTTAAATTCTCTTTTATAGAAAGTAATATTTCTCTTATAGCTACTAGTTACTTTATTTTAAGGATTTATTAATACTAGTTATATAATATTAAAAAGTTATTTCTTACTTTACTTTTTATTAAAGTAGATTATAAAAAGATAATATTAAAATAAATTTAAACTTTACTTTTTAATTTATTAGTATTAGTTTAATATAAAAGTATACTTTACTTTAATTATCTATATTAATCTATTATATTCTATATAATCTAGAGTTTCTAAATAGTAAAAAGATTAGTTTTAATAGTATAGACTTTTCTAACTTAATAATATTATTTACAGCCTATATTCTCTACTTTATAAAATATTTAAACCTAAATAATAAACTTATAATATATTAATATAAGTTTTAAAGTAATTATTATTATTTATTATATATAATATATACTTTCTATAAATATTAATTAATTTAAATAAAAGCTATTAGTATATATATTTCTTACTAGTATTATCTTAGTATTTATTTATATTTATAATAAAATATTTAATATATTATTAATAAATTAAGTATATTCTATAGGATTATATATTTCTATATAGTTCTTTTTATAACTTTCCTAGATTTATTATTAAGATATATATTAGCTTAGATAGTTGCGGCTATACTTACTTAAAGCTTTAGAAGTAAAATTATAATATCCTAAGTATTTAAATTATATTTAGAATTATATTTAAGTAATATTATAGGTCTAGAATTTCTAAACCTATAGAAGATTAATAAGCTTTTATATAGAGACTACCCTTTCTTATAAAGAAATATACTATAATTAAATATACTTATATATAATTATATATTATAAAAGTAAGATAATCTTAGTATCCTTATTGTATAAGAAAAGGCTAAAGGTTATAATATATTTTAAATTTAATAGTTAAGGAATACTAACTAGAAGCTATAAGTACTTAGGTATATTTTATAGTAGGAGAGAAAACAATAAACTAAAAAGCTTTTACTTAACATTTTCTAGGATATAATATTAAATATATAGTGCTATATAATTATAGTATACTATCTTTATAACTTTAAAGCCTAAAGCTTTATTAATAATACCTCTAAAAGCTCCTCTTAGAATATATACTACTAGGCGTTTATACGCTAATTTCTAATTAGTTTTATATAAAGTAAATAAGCTACTTAATAATTACTAAAAGCTTAGGGAATAATAACTTGTAGTCTATCTTTAGCGTTAGGGTAGGCAGTCCTCTATAAGTACTCTATTGTTATAGATTATAATGAGAGTAGGATGGGAATATCCTAATTAGGCTTAGCTTAGCCCTACCTAGCTTAGTATAAGGTTTTATTTCTACTATAGCTTATTAAATAGCTTATAATTAATTTATTATTAACTAACTATATTATATATATTGCTTATTAAAGTCTTTATGTACTATTTTTTCTTATATCTATCTTCTCTTATTAACTTAGTAGAGTATATTTTAAAGTAGTTTAACTAATAGCTTTAATAAAAATAATATAAAGAACTATATATAAGTAAGAGGTAACCTTTTAAAAATAAAATAATCTTTAACTTAGGTTTTTAAAAAGTATATATATAGTAGACTTTTTAAAGATACTATTAAGTAAAGTCTACTAAGAGAATAATTTTAAATATATACTCCTTTTAATATTAAATAAAATATATATACTTATTACTACTTTATATTAATACTTAAGGATTAGTTTATATAGGGGTAAATTAATAGTAAATAGATTTTAATAAATATATTATAATTATATAATCTAGACCTTAGTAATAAGTAGCTAGTATATTTTATTACTAGTTTACTACTAAGGTAAATTGCTATTATATAGATATAATACTTAGTAATAATTATTAAAGATTAATTAAATATATATTTTTAAAGTATATTAAACTATATATATATAGACTAGTTATTATTAGTTGATAGTTATTCTTTTAATATATAAAGATTTATAAGCTGCCCTAGACATTAGTCATTCCGCCCCGCATCGCATAGTTGCAACAAGATGCCTGTGCCCACTGCCCGGAGTTTACATCGGAGATAGGCTCGCTTAAACTCCGGCTCGGGGTCTTGGCTCTTGGACTTAATGCTTGTTCAATTTGTTCAATGCATCTATCACCTTCCTGCTCAGTAACTATCCTCCGCAATTTGCACTTCGGCATCAGAAACCTCTCCTTGTGCACATTGTTACACAGAGCAATGTGATGTCCGAACGTAGGACATCTCCTCCTTTGGATCACCCCATTACAACAGCAGCCGTCGGCTTTGGATCGGGCCGCACCCAGGCTTCGTCATTTCCCAGTGTAAGTACTTCACTTCATTCTCTTCAACAGCTCTCACTCATCACTCACATACCACAGACTCGTAGTGACCCACCTCAAGAGGATCAAGAGCTTCAGCCTTCAACTTCCGATCCGCTTCAAGTGCTCAACAGCGCCCCGCACTTTGCAGCTACTGAGCGCCAGTCGCCACCCTCTGAAAGCCAGCTCACCCCTTTATCCCCGATCATCAGATCCGAGAGTGCTTTCGGTGAGTCATGAATTGTTCTGCTTAGCCACTCCTCTAGTCTATTACGAATCAAGCAACCAGGAGAACCATTCTGAGCCCCTCACGTCCGGCGCTTCGATCTATTTCACTTCAGGTGTGACCGAACAAACTACTGACTCGTATCAACCAGACATCGCTTTTAGAGGGTCCGATAATATCGCTGACGAATCCTCTGACCACTCGCCGGCATCAGAATCACCCCATACCAACGACCACGGATACGAAGACTGTGACAACCCAAGCTCTAAATTACAAGCCATAGATCCAGAATACGAATATTTCCAGGATTCGGAAAACGAGGAAGATTGCGCAAACCCCGAGTACGAATTCTTTGACCCAGAAGACTCTGATTGTGACATGGCCCTGAACATAGACGACAAGAAGGCTCTCTTCGAACAACAAAACCACTACTACAACGATGAAGCAGCAAGGAACCGCGGCCGTCAGGTCATCGAGACTGCCACCAATATCATAGCTGCGCCTCGTGGATCTCCTACTGCTAAGCAGACGACTCCTTCAATCCATCAAGCTATTCACAATCGTCCCAAGCTCAACGAGAGCGTGCTTCAAGACGGCCTACTGAACGCTCTTTTCAAGGCGTCGCGAATGGTGCGAAAAGCGAGTGTTCCTCCCAGCAAACCTTTCGATCTCTATGACTACGAGCCAGAGCCCCGCGCGTGGACCAAGGACTACCTTGGCCGAAAGACTCGAGCCAATTTTCACCAGAAGAGTGTTCCGCAAATGAAACCTCCGGCTGGTACATTCGATGCGTTCTTTGCAGAAGACCCGAAACTAAAAACACCTATCCCTGATCTTACGTGGGGACTCTGTGAAACGCTACTCAATGTAGCAAGAGACAGGTGGCCAAAACTTTCCAAAACATACAACGCCTCCGTGACGAAGGGTCTGTTCCACGCTTTCTGTAGTATGGACATAAAGACTCTCAACCGTCCGACCGGTGAATTGCAACTACAGTGTGCAATGGCAGGCTCTGCCATGGTGTGGAATAAGGTGCAGTGGGACGCGCAAATCAATGACCAGCCTATTCCGAAGGGCCATGACGATGACCAAAAGATCGAGAAAGGATCGGGCTCGTCGATCCCAGGTCTTACCTCATTTGTCTTCACGTGTGGCGTTAGTCCTTCACATGCTACGATATACGTCAATTGGAGAGAGGACTGGGATAATGGAGCGGTGTATTGGCACACAACTCCGATAGGATGGTATGGTACTGAATATGGCGCTGACCAGCAGACGGCCGCGTTTCAAAGAGCACTCACCAACATACATGATTGGGGCGTCGGACCGCGTGCGGACGTGATCTATCGACAAGCCCAGAAGCAGGCCAAGAGAAAGGCACCCAAGGACTATGAGATGCCTCTACCTGAGAGGAAACGGCTGGAATTGATAAATGATGAGCATGCTAGTGGCTCCAACTAATGCAGACTGTCCGACTTCAGGCTCTGTAAGCGGACAACACGGAACCATGTCTTCAAAGGAGACGAGGAAGGCAGAGATACCCTGAAATAGCTGAAATAGCATGCAAATATCCATTCATAGCATATCATCTTATATTGGTGTCACCGTGAAGGCATTGATTTGAAGAAATGATAGCCAAAAATTGCATCCACTAATACTTCTGCTGTGGACTACAAATACAATGCAATACCCCACGTACTCTCCTTTCACCTTCTAATGCAAATGAATAAATTCACATAAAACGTTTCGAGGGGTTCGCCGCTTCTCTTCCCTCCGCTCCTTCCTCTCCATAATCATCATCGTCACGAACCCAACGAGTCCAGACTGCCAGGCAATACTTGTCAGCAGGGTTGACGCTTCCAGGCACCTTGCGAGGTCGTCCAACTCTCCTAGGCACTCCTTGACCCACGCCCGGCTTTTTAGATGATCCATTCTCGGCTTTAGAAGGCCAACCTCTCTTTCTCGAGGGCTTCTCCGATTATGGTTTTCTCTTTGCGAGGTCGTCCCCTCCCTGCCTTCGTAAGAGACCCTGCCGCGTTGGCTAGTATTAATATGTCTTCCTCTCTATCTGAAGGCTGCGATCTTCCTTTTGACGATAGAGTCTCAGATTCAACAGGAGATTGCTCCTCCACATCACCTTCATAGTCAGAATCTGGCTGGTATCGAATGGACGGGTACCAAGAGCCATGCGGTAATTGTTCTCTTACGTCGTTTATACCTGGAACTTGAGCGTAGTGAGATACTGATTGGAGAGGCTGGCCCTAGACCGTAGATAGTTATCTCTGAACTCTATGTGTCGTAGCTGGTTGTTGGCTTGTGTGCAGTAGTAGATAATTATATTCACATGATGCTTGCCCTTGAATATTGTATATTGTAGCTCGTTGTGTGTCCAGTTGCGGCTGCACATAGCTAGGCCCTGAAAAGGATTGAAAAAGATTGCTCTAGTAGGCTGTCCATCGCAGCTGGTTGTGGGAGCCATTGTGGCGGTAGGTAGCCATTCATAGTGGAAGGATGTTGCCCTTGAAGATTGTCCATCGCAGCGGATCTGGGGTCTTGATGCGGATACCAATAACTAGACCTAGAGAGGAATTGTCTACCCATATTTTCAATTGAAACGAGGCTCATTCTGATCTTTGGCACCAAAGATATATGTCAAGGAGCAATCGCTTTTCTATAACCTTATTTAAAGTGTTCAGTCTAAAGACTTGAGTCCCTGAATCCTCTAAGTATGATGGGTCTTGATGACTTACTATCATTTGCCCAGTTTCTCGAAATGGAGCACATATCCCTGGCAATGGATAGCGCTTCGACAATGTTGTTATAGCTAAGTAAAGCTTTGATTTTCGATGTCTGATGATCACGATCAAATGTTTGTATAAGTCGATAAAGGATGTTGTATGGATGAAGACGCGATCTGACCATGGTCTTCTTATATAGATATTGAATCAGCACAAGGAAAAATCTGTCTCCCGAATAATCTATTCATCCAAGTCGTCCTGACCGTTGCTATCATGTACTAGATACTCATGGGGCAAGCCATTGAAAAAGGCCATACGTTTAGCCTGTAATTAACGAATTGCCTCTGCGAGAGGAAATAGCACCAGGAAAAATGTGCACAACATCTTTATAAGGCTCGTTTAAAGCAAAACGTACTAACTCGTTTCAAACGAGTCTAAACGGAAAAGTTCTTAACAGTTTCGTTGGAAATCAAGGCTGTCGCTGCTGATAATACAAATGTTGTGTTGAACATATAAAGACCGCGAGCAGATACGTTTGTACAGCATGAAGCGCGAGCGCGTTTGCTGGTCAAGTGTGAAGTGACCTATTTGAAGCCAGCTGCATTAAGGCTACATTCGAAAAACCAATACGCAGACTTGATCAAGCGTAATCAACTGCTAATTCCTGCTCCGTCTTGTCTCCCTGCCATGACTAATTCCTTTACCTTCATAAAATTTACCTAATGTTACTCCCTACTATTGTCATACCCTAAGCCTAGTCCTATAATATTGACTGCTATTTTGTCATTAGAGTATTGGCGATGCAATCTCCTATTAAGGTTCCCTATCGCTGCCTCACCTGCTCACAAACCCGGCTTGACGCTGACGTATATAATAGTTAGCGATATTTGTTCACGAACCCCTGTTTTGTCTTTTGAGTTTACCCGGAGAAGATAGCAGGTCATCTATGTCTAGGCAGTGCATTTAAATCTTAAAGATTGATAGAATACTTTCGTTGCTTTACTTTCTAATCAAACAAAGAAAGAACTGAACCACCCATACATTTAGACACAAGCACTGGGACGCAAAGCTCTCACGAATCCCCATTGTCTTTAGGGATAGGCGATAAGTTCTTCAACGGAATAATCTAGCGACAACGCTGCCTGCACTTGAGGCACTAACGCTGTGCTACATGACCTTCGACCAAGCATCACTGTGGTACTTAATTCTTACAATATAGTCGAGACTCTCTAGAATTATTGGTAGATTAATATAGACATATGGAGTTTGAAGAGATCTTTAGAATTCAACGTTAGTGCTAAGCCGTACTTTTCATCTTAATCGTTATACTAATTGTAGAAGGAACTCATTATAACAGCACGATTCTCTACTAATTAGAGCATTACGTAGGCAATTTAGAGGCCTATACCAACAAAATGCAGCTTAATCTTGATGAGCGTCCATACTGACGCAGAGTACTCTTCTCTCTTTATGGCGAGGTGTCTTTAATGGACCTCTAAGTTCATTTCGCTACTATTATGGATGGCTGTGTGCGAGAGCAGATGTGCCTATTGAAAACGATAATACCATTAAAATATACAAAGTCCTGAACAATCTGAAGACCGTCAATGCAGCGAGGAGCTGGACAGTCACTGATTTTTTGCGCGATAGCATATTCATTTCTCCCATCGAAGCGGGCGCATAGGCAAGAGATTCGTAAGAAAACAACACGTTAGAGGATATGAAAGAACACTTGAAGCACTAGATGGACGACGTATGCGCTTTTTTCAGCGGAGCTCATACCACTATGGACCCTTGTTGGAGGTGGACAGCCAAAGCGCAGAGCGAAATTCTTCATCTATCGCAGGCTTTCCGGACCGCAGCGTGATTAATAGCAAGACTCAAAATGTACACAATCTCTCGAGTCTTGGCATTCAGGGGTAGCGTCCTCTTAGTCAGCTGCCCCTGAATGCCAAGTCTGCGCTAGCCTGTTGTCCACTACAAAATGCTTCCCGTTCCTCACTCAGGAGATTGATTCCTGAGAAGGATCTCCATACAATCCTAATTATATCACACCTCCATCGCTTATCAAAGTGCAGGCCTACAACGTCAGTACACTTATGCGTCCAGCCAAAGACTAGCGGTCCACCAAAACGTTAGCCACACTGTCAATGAGTAGGTATAGACTATTTTAGTACTCGATTATGCTAATACTATTCGATAGTAAGAGGTGGTCCTCTAGCATTACCATTTCGTTATCAAGTCCCTCTAGGGACTGGAAGTCTTCTCGCAATACTACCTGCCGTTTTGAAGACTATGAATTTCTCGCCTTACTCACTCTTTTGCTTTAGCGTCCTTACACCTAATATACTTGGAGCAGGCGAAGCTACAGCGGGTGTTCCTGCGCTTTTTTTCGTCACGCTCTTAGAGCTTTTCCTGGCGTTGCTCCGCCTGGTCTTGCAGCCGTAGTTGGTGTCATGCCTCGCTGCTCACCATAGCCGCGCTTGCTGCTCCTCTAGGAGAAGCACATCTTCATAGATTGCTGCGATAGGTTCAGAAGGTTTCAATCGACTCAGACGAGCGATGAGTGGGGTGTCCTCGACGCTAGGGGAAGAACGAAGAAAAGAGAGGCAGGGGAGAAAGAGAAATATCACATGTTCAGCGAGCTCTTAATACCTCAAGCCTATCAAAAGACAACATGCGGGACTCAAGGCCTTGGGGATAGGCAAGGCCGACGAAGAGTGCAAGGGTACAGGGGAGAATCTCTGGCTTCGTCTTCGGCTTCTTCTTCGTGATACAGTTGATTTGAAAGGGGGAAGGATGATTTCGCTACACCGATACATGCGTAGATCGGCTAAGCAGCTCAAGTATGTGGTGCGTGTTCACGGTCCAAGTAGTCAACATTGCAGATACGGTCGTTCATGGAGCGCCTCTTTACGCTCGCCACCAAGAATCGAAGACTCGCAAGGCGAGTTCATGATATCTATTGGAAGACTACCATTGTTTCTGCCCTAGCGAACAAGCATCTTGACCCGCTTTGCTCGCAGGCCTAGTATTGTTTCAATAAATGGGTATCATTCACTACTATGTTTACTTAATATGAAGATTCTTGGACTCTATAAACGAAATAAAGATTTTGAAAACTGAGTTCCGCCTTTTCAATTTCGAGACTCTAGGGTAGCTAATTTGAAAGTAAGTAGGGTTTACCTTTTAAAAGACATTTAAGGTTTCGATACTCCTTATATAAGTACTATTTGAGTAGCACTTGTAGGTCTTTTATTTTTATGTCTATAACTACTACTTAAGTACTATTTTTGAAACATCTACTTGAGTAGTATTTACAAGGTTAAAGGTAGTATATCCGTAAGTATTACTTAAGTAGTGGTTGTGAAAATACTTGAATGCAAAAGTGCTACTTAGATAGTATTTGCATATAACTAGTGTATCCCTAACCGCGATGTATAGTAGGAACCATTGCGGCTCAAAATCGCCAACCTATATTTTTATTCCCGAACCAAATCCATAATAGCAAGGCTACTATTGATGATCTTCTAAGAGACTATACATCTCACTCATCTTCTGCTCCCCCCTCTTACCCCTACGTCCCCCTGCCTCCTCCACTGCCATCATCTCTCATCGCTTCTAGCACCACCGTTATCATTTACGCCCTATATACTACTCTTTTCGTATCTGAAAAAAGCTCCAAGTGCTTCTTGCTCGTCGGCTAAGGCAACACCGCTCCCTTCTCCCCTTTTTCCCTTTCCTTTTTACACACCCTTGTTACCTATGTCCATGCCCTTTCCCTCCTCCTCTCTAGATAGATAACATTCAGAACAACCGCCAGCATGTTTTGCAAAGCGGTCAAAGGCAACAACCACCCTAACCCCACGTAGTCTTCTCAAATTCATCGAGCACACCCAACCAAGGCTGCTTTCGACGAGCTCGGGGGATGATTTGAGATTAGACTTCTGGGGTGCAAGGCGGATGGCCTGAGTATGGCCATTCTGCGATGGAAGGTGGAGTGAAAGGAGAAGAGGACGTGCTCGGACATTTGTGGCCGAGGGCGGAGGTGGCAGGAAAAGGGGGGAGGATCATGACCGAAGCCAAGGTGCGGCCGTTTTCGCTAGTGCTAGCAAGAAAGCAGATGTGGATCAAAAATTCAGAAGGCGCAGTGGGTGTTCAGGCTCCACGTTGGACTGAGTGGATGATGTGGCGTAAGAGTTGTTGGAGTGCACAGCGAAAGGTTGGGGTGGAGGAGCGAGCTGATCAACAGTGGGCCCCTCAGCTACCGCTCGAGTTGGGGAACTTGTAGGCCGACGTTTTTGGGGGGAGTTTTGGAGAGATGTAAAGGCAGCCGATCAAGGCCTGGCGGGTGATACTCCGTGAACTTGGGAATATGTTGCAGGCGCCGTTTTGCAGGATTCTTGAATGGCGTGGGAGCTGAATGATCGAGGCTTGACGCGTGCAAGGGTTGGTAGACTTGGTGTATAGATGTCTGCGTTGGGAATTGGGCCAATGAGAAACAAGGCAGAGCAGGAGATTGTGGGAGAGGTGAGCTCTTTCGTGGACGTATTTAAGATCAGGGATAGGATGGCGATGGCCAAGACGATGCACGATCTTGCTTTCGAGGGGTGAGAAGTACAAAAGACCAGAATGGCGAGGGAAAGTAAGGTTGGCGACAGTAGATGAGGGGTGTGAATGGGTCATATGCATCCTCTATTGGAATTGTCGTGCTTGAAGGGACACATCTCATCGCGTAAGAAGGACATCTGATGCAAACGAAGCTTCAAACGTGAGGCACCCTTTAAATGTTTTTGAAGCATAAGTCACCTTGATTCCTAGAGCGTCTTTGTCGTGCTTGAGCTTTTGGCAACACTGATGACATAATCTACCAGCCACTTGCCTCTGAGGATTATAATGGAAAATGCCATGAACCACTCACTTTATGGGATTCTGAATGCCTCGAAGGCCTTCCCGCGGGTTTCCTGTGTCACTTACGCGGTGGGGGTGTAAGCCGTCAGGCTTTGGGGAGGTGCAGTTCATGCTGGCAACTTCTTCGTAGCGGCCAGTCTTTCTTGCAATCTTTGACAGACTGGTAGCTCTTCAGCAGGAGAAGCGCTTGCGCCAACTTCTTCCATTCCAGAGGCATTGACGGGTGAGGGGGTGCACAGTTAACTCTGCGCTGCTCCAGCGAGAAGGTATTTCAGGAATTGTATAGAGTCATCTTCCCCTTTTGCCTCCCGTGGTGCAACTTCTTCACTCGCACAACCTTTCGCTATTTCCCTGTACACCTCCTCTTTTGTCACGAGTTTAAAAAGGGTCTTACCCCCATACCTCCTTGTAGCAGTCAACTCTGTTTCTGTTGGTGCCCTGCTTCTCAGCAGGTCCACAGGCCTTGTCCCTTTGTTGTGCTTGCACGGCCTCCTCTTTCGACTCCTTCATCAATGCTACCGGCTTTGGTCTCCTCCTATGCTTTCTGCGGTCGCGTAGCCCAGGCCAGTATTGGGCGCCATCATGCGAATTCGCCAGGCTGACTCCAATGAAGTTGCTTCATAATGATGTGACAGGCTTTTGAGGAAGAAATTGGAGGTCGTGGCCGAGGATTGAGCGCCTTGCTGGTCAGAGCGGACTTGTGACCTTCGACGGAGGAGGGATGCATCGGTTTGCTGGATGGTGTATCAGCGTAGCTGACCCAATTCTTGCTGCCTTGAATATCTCACACTGTTGCAAAAGTGACACCTGCTTGGGCGCTGTGCTGTGCTGTTCAGTGAGTCTTATGACGTGCAGGCCGAAGCAAGACACGTCGACCGTGAATACAAGGTCGATAAGGGCATTTGTCATCGACAAGGGTTGAACGCCTGGTGCATGCTGTTTTGATGGTTGTACAAGAGGTGAAGCCTGCGTCGCATGGTCGAGTAGTAATGAATGATGAGCAAGTGCTGCAGGTTATGAGGCAGGTGATAACTGATCTGATGCATGAGTAGACGCATCAGAGCGCAAAATGTAAGGTGAAAGGGGAGTAGGAATGTTACTCCGCAGAAATGTGATTATCGCGAGGTCACGTGATATGTCTTGGCAGTAGCGGGGGCGGGGTATTCAATAATGTGAAAATCAATATTTATTTTCTCAGCTCAGTCACTATTCACTTATCGCGTCATTGAGTGCTACCCTGCCTCAGCCATCATTGACTATTCACTATTCGCCAGAACGACGATTCACAACCTGCATCGCAATTCACTTCGCGTCCGCCCAACTCAAGTCTCACAGACCGCCGCCCAGCCCTGCCCCTTTTCGTCCTCCTCGCCGTCCACGTCCGCGTGCCCCTCCCTTTTTGCCACCCTCCCCTTTTTAACTCCTGGCTTTGTAAACCTGACTTTGTTGTCCATGATTATCTCCGACTCTTCGTCATCGAGAAATCTCGCCCTTAGGTCCTTCCTTAGAATCTTCTACGATTCTTCGTTATGGTGCAGTTGACCCCCTCAAGTTTTATGGGCCTGCGTTGTCTTTTGTGTCATATATTCATCTAGTCTCCGGACTGAGTCTTCTTCCTCGTTGTTAGCAAGGCTTTATCTTTGTAAAGAATTTCCAGTATACTCTTAGCGTTTCTTACGTCCATGTACCTTCATCGCGGGAATCAGTCTTTGTAGCTTTGTTTTTTGCATTCTTTAGCCATAGTCTCTTCTGCTAATCGTTGACGCAGGTTATACTATCTTGGCTTTTAGTGTCCATAGTGATTTTGATATCTATCTCTATAGTCTTCCGCTGATAATTTGTGTTCGCTTGTTTCTCTTAATTCCAGTGCTTAGATAGAATCACTGTTATATCTATTAGTCTACCTGCCATTGGCTCTATAGGCCTTTTCGCGTATTTATCTAGTTCAATATTCGTCTTTGTAATCAAACATTTCGGAAAAGAAGCTTTGCCTAACAAAGCGAAAGGACCTTGATGTTTGCTCGTCCTATAGCGCCTAGATGAATCTTCGACTAGCTCTGAATCTAATAGACAATCTATCTTACGTTTGCCCAAGCGATTCCCCGTTGGTCAATGTTTATGCCCTACTCATTATTCGTAATAACTGTTTGTGTCCAGCAAATAGTGGAATCGATAATCGCAAATAGGTTTCTAGTCATCAAACTAGGCCTCCTAAATGAGAATTATTTTGAAAAGAGGGGTAGGGAGTATTGCTTGGGAACTTGGATTTAGCTATCTAGTATGCTGAATTGCTAGTCTTCAAGATTTAATGATGCGACCTCGACAACGATTGCCTCGTTGTGCACTTCGAGGTAAGCTATAGTTGATCCTAGGGCAATATTAGACGAGGACAAATTAGTAAAGAAGCTGACCAACATTTGTAAGGGTAGAAGAGGGAAAGCTTTCGGTAAATTCTAATCTCCGTGAATAGGAGCCTGAAAACCAATTTTCTAATTACTCACTTATCAATCGTAATCTAAGTTCTCGCTTGACCAGTGTCTTTTGAACTATGCCAAAGTCAACTTTTATTACTTTAATCCCTTGAGAATCTTAGCAGATTGTATGTCTCCGCTATTCAATCAATTGTGCTAGTCAGAGCGACCTTAATATGATGGGCTAGAGGTATATCAAAGGATACAATGGGCGCTGGGTCCCAAATTGTCCATGGACCAGCAAAGTAGAGTAAGGCGAATGCGCTAAGCAGGATTTGTAAGGCACAAGATAGTGTTATACGTTGGCTTTGCCTTGATAATATATTCTTCGAAACAACTGTCTTTAAGAGACTATCCTCCTTGTATATTGCATGAATTTAGATTCTTAAGGTCTACAAGGAGATCTATTGAAGTAGGTTTCGTCCGCATACTAAACATGGAGAGAGCAAAGAAGCTCCCAGATCAGCGCCCTCAGACAATTATTTATTCAGCTTGTTCACATGTCTGCTCTGTTCCTATCCACTTCTGCCCGTTTTCTATGCCTCGTCTCTTCACTATTATCGTCTTTACCCTTCCTATCCTAACTTTGTTCTTTTCGATAGCCTCTTCTCCTCGCCACCTCCGTCTTTATCCTTCTTATTATGAAGTTGATCGTGCTTGTCAGTACCGCCGTTCTTGTCCTCCTGCTGTGTTCTCCGATCCAGCCCTTCTCCCATATCTTCCTTGCGCTTAAGGTCCTCGACCAGGTCTCGATTATCTTTATTCATCACTGTGGGTATTGATGGGCGGCGGCGGAACACTTCCTGTGATTGACGAAGCGCGAGTATTCCATTAACACAATCCCTACTTTCTCGGCGATATTCTCCAATAGCAATGTCAGTTAACTTAGAAGGGACCTAGGGAGCAATCTTCGACCTACCCTCAGATCTCGCTCCAGTCTCATCAGGGAACTCCGTCTCCATAGTGCAGTTGTAAAAGCGCAATTCATCATCGGTCAATTGAACGCCTTCTCTACTCTGACCGTCTCTCTGTACACCTGGTAGGTCGTCATTGGGAGAAGAATGACCTTGATCCTCGATGTTCATTCTGGCTGACTCTTGTGTTCCTAATCTTGAAAAACGTTACTTTCAGAATCTGTGAGCGCCGGATAATTCTACAATCAATACAGTGGAGTCTTGTCTGCTATGTTCAGCAGTCTACTCGCCATAGGAGACTATGCACTTTTCTAGACAGGTGCCGAGCTTAACCTTCATAAGTTTGTCATAGGTTTCCGGCAGGAGAAGGTTCGAGCAAAAGATCGAAACTCCCTAGGCTATTGCTCGACTTATAGATGCCTTGATTGTAGCTTGTCCAGCTCTTGTCTTAGTAGATAACCTTTGTTTTGTTTTTCACTGCCATTGTGATTGCTTAATCTTTTTGCGCTGCTGTTTGATAATTGTGATTATGTCCTTATTAAACCCATTAGAATGGATGTTATACGCAAATTGTGGCCGTCCGACGCTCTATAAGCCAAATCGCAGGCAAGACAAGCAGACCGTCGTCCTCAAAATTCGAAATTTGCGGTCTGCCATATCGAGCTATCTAGCAGTGCGTATGCACAACGTTCGTCTGATAGAACATTCCTGTGTGTAATGCGATCCTTTCTTACGTGAAGTTCTCGCAGCCTTACGCATTTTCCTCCGTTCATGTACAATAGTGAGCACAGATTCTGGAAAATATTATGTCGCCAACAATTAAGGCATTCAATGCCGAAATCGTTGAACGAGCGCCTGATGTCAAGCTAGTAGTTATACTACCTTCAAATCGCAATTCTTAATCTAGTATGAAAAGTTTACCTCGTCCACTATCGAATTAGTTCTAAACGGCACCTATCTACGTCTGTGTGCAGTCAACATCTCCATGTTCCCTGCAATTTTGACGTGGGGATAAAAATCACGGGATACACAACACGCAACAAGTGTGGAGAACAATAATTTTGTGACCGCAATAGTAAAGTGTCATAGCATAACGACTGGAATGGCACAAGAAGCACCAACACAAAAAAGATCTTGACGATTAACAACAAACAGAATGATATGAGACGAATTCAGGCCGGAGGTAGTGAGTGGACTTGGAACGGCTTAGCGACTTCCAGTGAATTCAGCTCGTGTCGAAGGGCGGCATGGACAGGCACATCACGTTGGCAACTGAAGGAGGGACAGTGCGTCTCTTTTGGCAGTCTATTTGTTTCCTCACTCCTGTTCGCGGGCAACCTTACGAGGCCCATGCATGGCATTAATACCCAAAGAGTTGTTGGTATGACTATATGCTTCAAGAAATGATAGTATTGTATGCGCGAGTAAGTAAAATCAATTACTAAATAGCCTTCACTAGACCTGCCTCGTCTCTTCTGAAAACCTTTCTAGAAATCATTTAATCCTATATATCTTCTTTTATTTCTTTCTCCTGTGTACATCTTCCTTGTTATAGCCAACAAAGCTAAGATTAGATACTTCCTATCATTCCACCGCTCTTGATTAGGAAACCATTGAGGCTTTTTGTTTTCCTGTCTCTTTTGTTCCTTCGACCGAACTGCAGAGACGAGGTTGATTTGTGCGGAAGGAGCGAAGATTAGGCTGGTTGGTCTAAGGGTAAAGGCGAGGGTCGAGAGGAGCGTGGTCAGGGGCAGAGGCGAGAGAGTTAGGGAGGCGGAGAGGGCATACTCTAAAGAAAGTTTAATGTGTATATATCTGTTTTTGCGGCAGTATCTAAGGGCAGGGAAAGACGAAAGCGGGTTGTACTTTATATTCTGGAGAAGACCTCTTTTCTCATCGCCTCTTCCACTGTAAGAAAAGTACTATAGTATAGTTTCGATAATTGAAGACCACTACAAATATAGGCAAACACTAAGATGGAAAGAAAACCGCCGTTGAATCGGCCCTCACCATACGAAGAAGTCTAGGGGGGTCAATAAGATCTCTGGTTCGCGCGACTTTCAAAAATTGCATAAGGGTAGCCTTCGCCACTTTCTTAGCCTGTATGGAGATGCCCTAAGACTCTACACAACTGCTATCTGCTAATTCGTCAGTCTTGTTATTTATGAAGGGCGGACAATAGGGGCAACGACGCGACCTTTAGGCTAGGTGATACCAACGCTGCTAAAGCGTTATATTCCGAAAGTACGACCCTACTCCTAGGGACTCTAATTACAACAGGGTAGAGAGGCTGTGTCCTTATTTAAAGACTGTATCCAATACTACATTATTACTTCTTGCGGAGGCTATGGGGACAAATGTAGCTGAACTCTAGATTGATATATAGAAAATTGTAAGAGATTATTTTCGTATACTAATAGTATCTACTATCCTATATTTAGGGACTTTGCTAGACATTTATACTAAAGTAAGCCTCGTGATTTCATTAGCAGCACGCTTTCCATGGAATTACTTATACCCTCAAGATATAAAGCCTATAGTCAGCGGACGGCCTGCAATTAACGTCTTTAATATATTTAGGACACTATAAGTCAAGGGATCTTAATCTTCAACTCAGGAGTATAGCGACATCAAGAGAAGAGATGTTTAAGGGCTATGAGATGTTAAACCGATCAGAAGTAGCGATATATATGCGTACTAGATAGGTTTGCTCCATCAACATTCCACGTAAGCGTGATGATCAGCATCTGCGTCGCACTGAAGGTGTCACTATTGACCGCAACCTCGCCTTCTGATGTTGTACGACGAGAATCAATACCCGAAAGGACTGTAGTCATTTTGTCAAATTTGGAGACCTAGGTGTAGGCAAGCAATGGAAAGCTAGTCCAGCAGATTTCAAAGTAAAAAGAGTGAGGAGTGGGACGGTTGGCCGAGGGACCGGAGGCGAGGAGAACGGGGACTGGAAGAGTGGGTCTTCTTGTAAGGTAGTGAAGGGCGAGGTTTGTTCGGGTGCTTGGGGGACGAAGAATGGTCGCCCTGGAGACTGGTTAAGGAGAAGTCCAGGAGGGGGACAGTGTAATAAGGCATTGATTTGTAAGAAAGGTGCTGTTCAATACTATGTGGCGAAGTGATCTTGAAATGATAATTTGTTGTAACAATTTGGAGGTTCGCTATTGCTAAGCTCCTGTGTAGAAAGCAGTCAGAGCTAGCTGTATTAACAGTCTTGCCTAGGCTGCTTCGCATGAAGGTTTGCAGATCATCCTCGAAAACTGCTAGCCTATACATCTAGATGTCTTGATGCGCAAGATACAATATGCGCTTTCCTGAACAATTAGATTTCTGGTCGCCCTTTCAACGGTTGTTCCCTTGACAAACGCTGTTTTGAGCCTTCTTCTTCTCATCATTTCTGGATTTCCAACATCAATCTTTTACACTAATAAAACCCGGGACAGTTTCCTCAAAGCGATTTCAACGTTAATAAGCTCTGACCGCAGGCCATCGTCACCGTCTGCAAAACATCTATTGATAGATACAACTCAGTATCATCCAGACACAGTCAAGTATCAAGACGGGATTCGGACGCTCTTTGGAGATAATCCAAATCCGCCTCATCATCAAAATTCTTAGCATCAACATCTTTATTATCATCCACAGCCTTATCATTATATACTATTCATCCACGTCCTCATCAACCCCAACTCTTCAAGACCCCGTTGCCAAAAACTTCCGACAGCTATCCCTGCAGTCCCCCCAGTCTCCCGAATATCCTGCTTATTAGGCTGTTACCTCCATCAATCCAGCGAGCAGTCCTGATGCCGCACTCAAATGCCAAGAACAGCTAGCCAACCACAAGCATAAGCTCAGCCGTCCAAACTTCGGCCTTGCCAAGTCCGCGTACTAAGGATATGTTCCGAGAGCGGCTGCACAAGGAGCAAAGTTTCGATTGATATAGGACTTTGGCAGATAGTTTAGCGAGCCCAATTGGCCGATTTGCCAACTAGCTTGCCTTTGATCATCGTTTGACTTAAGGAAGAAATACGCAGGAACGAAGCTTGGGCGCGTAGCAGGAGGGATCGAGGCTGGACGTAGGGCGGGGCTAAGTTGCTGTCGGCTGTACGAATGAAGCCTTGATTTCTTAGCATTTGTGCTTGGAGGGGAACGGTAGACAATCAGATTTTGTAATGGAACTGGCTAGCAGGAACATACGCTTTAGTTGATGATCATCTTGAACTCTCGTTTGTTGCTGCCAAGCTCAGCGGCAGACGTCTCGTGAGGAGATCTTTTTTTTCTTCCTCGAATGCGTGCTTGCCCATAGAAAGACGAAAGCGTGCTTACATGAAACCAAAATAGAAATCCACCAAGGACAAAGAGGGAGCGAGTGTAGAAGTGTACTTACAAAGTTGACATCCTTAAAAGCACAAGAAATATCTTGCAGGAACCCAACCATGCAGTGAATTTTTCAATATTTACGAACAATGGCACTAGAAAAGGTGATAATTTGACTTGAGATCCTACCATGGCTTCATATTCGCAAGTAATTCTCCCCTGATCAAGCCGCCTTGCTCTGCTTGGACGTTCCATTCAGATGCAGAACGTCACACTAGGGGAAGAACAGTCATTCATCCAAACAATGGATACGTTGTACTAATAAGCGCAGATACGCGTGTACAAGTGACAGGTCTGCTCATCACTTCCAACCCATTTGGCAATAATGAACAAGGGTGAGCCTGAAAAGGGATGGCTAGAGAAACCAATAACGCCTAAGCGTAGCAAGATTGCCGAATCCTACTAGCATGCTTGTCATTGGTAGAAATGTGGCCCAGTCTTTGGGGGCATCCTGTACCTATCTGGTCTCGAAGGCTATCTATCCTCTCCGCTAATGTTGCCGCTTCTTTCAGCTTGGATTATGTTGGGAAGATCGCTATGAATCCTACGTACACTATTGTCTATGGGACTTATAACTCCTTCTAGGGAATTTCGTTAAGAAAATCGCTAATCTGCACAGTCCTATACGTAGGCGGAGATACTCTCGTGAGAGGACAGCTGTGCAGCGTTCTGGCACTTTGTTGATTCGGCTCTTGTGGAAGAGTGGATGTATGTGTGGAACGAGCTTGTAATTTTCGGCCGCAATGTCTGGTGCGGGCGAAAGTGGAAAGAAATTCTGAGAAAGAATAAGACGCGGAGGATAGACTTCTCCGCCAGAATTAGGGTGAATCTCTGTTGTACGTCGTCTCTCGCAGAGCTTGTGATCTATGCTGACGCCTAAAGAGAAAATGCAACTGATCAAATTAGCTGCCTCGGTGAATACCGAATATACCCTATAACGCCGAAAGCGCTGCTGCCAAGCAGTATAAGTACAACGGCTGATTAGACACGATAAGTTAGCTTGGTTCCTTAGGTCATGCAGTAGACTAATATTACAATGACCGGAGTAGCTAAGGAAGTCGCGAGGGGGGCATTGATAAGTCCTATATATTTGGGCCCAACATTTTACCCACGTTGCTACATTATCTTTTCCTCTCCCCAATTAATGTACGACGCTCTCGACTCAGCTCAACTATTGTGTAAGATCTCCCCCAGAATCTACATTTTAACCGCGCTCCGGCGATGCGATCTTTAGTAACGGGTGACGTAGCGGGAGTCTAAATAGTTGAAGGATTTTGAAGAAAATCAGAACAAGATTTGCTAGATCTAGATTGAGATTCATTCCTGTGACCATTCTAAGAGCTTCAGGTGCAGGGAGCTTAGTTTATTGCTACGTATCTCCGAGTACATCCTTATCCCAAGATGGGCAAATAACATCTCGATGAGAAGAATCATTACACAAATGGCCAATCTTCATCTGGCTCGCCGATACCTTGAAAGGATCGAGATCAAGCCTTCCGCGCCTCGCTGCAATTCGACGACATCCAGATTGGTAGATTATGGCGCTCCCGCTTTTCGCCAATTGCGGCACGCTTAAAGGGCTATAAAGTATTGGAAACAGCGATCATTCATTGTAAGATAAGCGTCTGATTTCTTCCTCGCTCTCCGATTTCATATTTATACTAGAAGTATGGATACCAACCTCGTCGTAATCTTTTTCCTAGTCAATTCCTACGTCTAACTTCTTCTCATTTTCGATAATACTGTTTTCAACGGGAACAAGTTCGGCTCTTGTATCGCTTTCCGAGTCTTTGGAATCGCCGATGACGCTCGTACGTTCTTCAACAGGCACCTTTCAGGGCCTCGTCCAGGTTAGCATGCTCGCTACAAGAGTCGGTGACATATCCTTGAGGAACTTTGAAAGCCATTGTTTGATACCCTGAGCAGGTTCCTAGCGAATTTCGTTAGGCTCATACAGGTATTGCAGGAGCCAGCGGGGAAGGGGCAAGCCCACTGGATAGCTATTCTGTGGACAAGCTTCTTTATTCTCCTGATTAACGTCGGTATGGTCAGAAATAGCGCTTCCAGTGGTTCTTCCGTGGAGAGCGGCCATCCTAGGAGGTGCTTTCAGGGGTTAAGCGGTAAGAGAACGGGGGAGATTAGGCGTCTCACGAGGCGTAGGTCCGTCAAGACATGTATTGCGAAATACTGCGAAGCGGAGAGGGATCGTTTTCTGAAAGGATACGCGAAATGATGCCACAACGTTATGGTGTACCAATGGTGTGTTTGAGCAACATGGAGCTGAGCAGCTGGAAGGGTGAGGCAGGAATAAAAGAGAGGTATTCAGGGACTGACGAAGTTGGGTAGAGGGGTACATCTAGAGAATGCATCCTCGCAAAATGTGACTAGCCAATGGAAAGAAGACCGGATGCAAGAAGTCTACAAGAAATATAGACAGTTCGCCTATATGTCAGAGCGATGGACGCCAAGAATTAGCCTCTTTTCGTGGCGATGTATAGGTGTTGCTGGTGAAAACGAATCCTGCCAATACCTCCCTCAAAATTTCGTCGATTTGAGACTCTGCTAAATCTGTTTCAGTACGATTCTTAATAGAAGGCTGATTCTGTGTTCCGCATGTTACGGTCTACTGGTCACCAGGTCGTCAACTTATGTGCCGCTACAGCGAATTGCATCTTCAATTTGCCAACTCCTAAAAATATAGCCGAACGTACTCTGCGAAATCGAGTTGGGCAGTCTGTTTGCGGCGCCAATCGCGCCCGTAAAGACATAAGTCAATCGGGAAATAGCGCGGTAAGGATATCAGGGTGAAGGAGGACAGTAGGAAGAATCTTCTATTCTAGGAAATATAACTAGATCTGACGGTGTACGAGGTTTGCTCGGTCCGAGGCGCTGTTTCACTTATACTTGGACGCTGCCTGCAAACAATACCCATCAACTAGAAGGCGTCGTGCTTTATTGTTCAATAGCGCTTACTGTTCTGCAAAATGCAGCATTCGTGTTTTTCATTTTCATATGAGATGAGAAGTGTAAAGGTCGAAAGTGATGAGGATTGTGGGGTGATAGGGGTGGAGGTCGTTGACGGATGAATGCAAGAGTCGGGAGGGTTGAAAGAAAGCTGATCCGCTCAGCCAACCGAGTCGTTTACACAACACAAGATCAACGAGCATAGTCTCTCACGGATCCTGAAATCTCTAAGCTTTACGATAAAAGGTCATACTTCGGCTCATTTTCTCCCTTCGGAAATCTTTCGATGCGTCAATTCTTCATTTGTGAGCACCGCTTTATCCCCCGTCGGCCTCCTTTTCCCTTCGGAACTCATGGCTTGATATTCTTTCGCATATCCGATGGCGGCGTGTGAAAGCAGTGACCCAGTGGAAGATATCTTGTGGGTCGAACTATGCGCCACTGTTGTCGCTACCACCGAAATGAGGCGTTTTTGTTGCAACAATGCTAGGACTGAACTGCGGAAGAAAAAAATGGCATGATAATGTGCAATGAGGGTGAGAAGAATGACTCATGACAAGAAGACGAGATCGAGAAGGCGAAACCATCAAGACGGGATCAGGGGGAATAGGTTATCGTAAGGAGGCCAAGGAGAGCGATCAAAATGTTGTCACTGTTGCTAGCGGCGAAGATTATCATGCGTGAGTATATCCCAAACGCCTTGAAACCATTTTCTTGGTGAAGACGCCAACGACTGGGCCTACAGCGCTGATGCCCACCCTGTTGAGGGCAAATGCACAGGTCGATAACCTCATACCAATCTAATACCCTTGTCTGCTAGCGCATCAAGCTTTGAAGGTCTTCAAGCGGTTGCAGATAGATTATTAATAGACCGTAGTCTCTCGCTGCTTCGCTTGGTGAGCCACTTCTTCTCTGCTGATAAAGCGCTTGACAAATCATTGCCGTAGCGACGCTTGATTTCATTTAAGGAGGGCTTGATAGAGGGGGGCTGTGCTTTGAAAGGGCACAACACCATTGGGTACAGCGCAAAGGATATCTGTCTCATGGCGATCTACCACTTTCGCATTAACGTTGTGCAGCCTCACTCGTCAAGTGGTGTTTAGCTGGCATTGCGAGTGGTTAGCTTCTGTGTTCACTCCCGACTTTTCGGGACTCTTGAATGAATCAATTAATCGAACAAGCTGTATGTTTGGCCATTGATGCATGATAACGAAGGATTCGTCCTGCGCGTTGGCGATTTTGATCATGCTAAGCTTTCGGGCTGGCCCGTTATCGCTATCGGGGCCGTCCGTGATAAGATAATCGTCACGCAGATCTCCAATTTCCCGCTCACAACAATTGAGGTGTGACAACAAAAGGAAGAACAACACAGACTTTTGCCACCGGCTTGCCTTATTTGGCAGTTCATCTCACACATCGCCCAACATGTTTATGCAAGTGACCTCCAAATCATCTTCAAGCTGCTGCACGGCGACGACCCGCGAATGGCTGGACTCGCTTCCCTCATCTTCAGATTTCACTGATCCCTCGGTCGCAAGCACACCCCCTAAAAAGAAGCGCAAAGTCAACGGATGCCAGCAGCTCCACGGGAAGCGTCCCGTTCTCAGCTCCATCTCGACCAACATTATGGCGCCAAAGGCCTCCCAGACAAAGAAGGGTGCCCAAGCTACCCCATCGCTGGCCCCAAACACACCCCCCAGACAGACACCAGTCAGCACCGCAAGTCTTCTTGACCATGAAAAGACTCCGACGCAAAACAACCCGAATCCTCGCAGACCATCTCACCGCCTCACGCGGTCTGAACCTTCCCCGCAAAAATTACCTACGCGTCAATCCAGCAGACTGCATCCACAGGCAGCTCCACAAATCCCGCCTTTTTCACTACTAACGTTGGCGCCGGCTCGCGAGAGAAGAGGGGGACATGGACACATACTAGAAGAGGAGGAAGAGGCCGAAGAAGAGGCAGATGGCGAGATTGAAGACATTGGAGAGCTGGAAGTCGGCGACGAGGCAGCGGATGAAGGCGATGAAGCTTCTTCTGACTCTGCTGCCAGCACTGAGGTCTCCCAATTTCTACGTCTCCGCGATTACCACATTCAGCAAGCATCCTTTGAAGACGAGCAATATGCCTTCCCACCTCCAAATCTGAAGACGTTGACCGAAAATTTGTTTGATATAGCTCATGGTACTAATACCATTCCCCTGCAGCTGAAAGATCGTACATCTGCCGCCTCGTTGCCACTGAAACGAAAATACATATCAGAGAGCGTCGCTAAAAATGCCGCTGAGTGCACAGTCAGGCTATCAGCGGAAGATGAAGAGGCCGTGACAGACTTCTGGAAGGAGATCATCAGAATCAAAGGATTCGCGAACGAATGCGAGGCGAAATCATATGCCGAGCCTAGATGGAATAACCAAGTTCATTCGAGACTTCTGAGTCTTGCCCTCGCTGCGGGAAGGCAGCAAAATCATACCTGGTTCCGTAATGTTACAACGCATAGGATAACGGATCCTGAGATTCGGGATGGCCTGGTGGGTACAGGGAAACATGCCACTATGGTAGACTATGCTATCCTTTTAGAGCTATCATCCGAGACCATAGAGAGAATTGTGAAGAAACTGGGCGCGCTGCGGACTGACGAGCTGAACCAGTCCCGTGCTAAGGATCTTGACAAGGTCATTCTGGCTGCAAACATAGAGACCAAAGTTCTTGGAAGCGGTAAAGCCCGCGCCAAAGGGATCCGACAATTGGCGATCTGGACGATTGCACACTTTAGGAAGCTTGTACAACTGAATCCAGGACTTGCTTGGAGTGATCTGCCTACACTCCCCGTCGTTCTCACAGAGAGCCACCAATGGATTTTTTTTGCGATGAGGATGACTGGACCAGGGGAGCTGCTGGTGCATGGAGGTGAGCCCATTGCCTCAACAGCAGACATCCAGGGAATTTTCAAGGTGCTTGCACTCATTCAGCGACTTGCGCGTTGGTGCAAAGAAGAGTATTTGGTTTGGTGGGAGGAGAAGATACTAGAACATACAGCGAAGCCTCCACAGGTGGAAGCGCAGGGTTAGACTTCAATGGGGTCGAACCGAGAACTACAAGCGTTGAAAGCCTTCGATGTGTACTTCATTTGAAGAACCAGTCCGCGAGGAAACAGTATCCTGAAAAGTATGCCTATATGCTATCATGGATTTTACAACACCATATACACTGTCAGATACCGCTGGCTCAAGAACTCATATCTCGTTCTCTTCCCTTTAGTCAGCCATGAAAAGCCACCACCCACCAGGTTCGCCTCTGTACCATCGTATCATATCTTTGCCTCCCCCTACACCTCTCTTCCGCCGGTGGCTACCAAACTGGGTATAGCCACTCTGATGAACCGCGGGAATGCTGTAGGAAAGATACCTTTTCGCAAATTAGAGTGTGGAAAAATGCGAGAATACTTGAGGAATAGCGGTGACTGAACGCTTCGAGGGACAGTAAGAGTTATGAGATCGTGCTATCTTCTAGGCTACTCCGTGACGAACATCGGTAGCATACGCCGTGGCCTCTCAGTCATTGATCTACACCTTTACACGTAAGTTCGTTGTCGTTTTCATAAACTTGTAGCTCACTTGTGTAATGTTATGCTTCAAGAAGTTCTTCCGCTGCCAGGATCTTTCGATACTATCTCTTTTCAATGCTTTTCCTCCTCTCTAACTCTCTTTGCTAATTATAGAGCAATGCCCGGAATCTTTTCCCGAAGCCAGTCTAGGCATTGGCGGCTCCGCTCGCTCCGATTCGTGGTTGAGTAGCTTTTATAGTCGTCCAAAAAGTCCACAGCACATTCTAGCTTGCGACATGATTGGGCCATTATCTCCGAACAAACGGTTCAAGCCAAGTCCCCAACGACGTACTTCTGCGAATGCTAGGTCATGGCTGCTTCCTTTGAACCTTCTTAGTCTTCAGTATCGTCAAGAAACGCGGCATAAGTTGTCTACCCGCTTAGCGTAGCCGCGACAATCTTTTCGAGACTGTAAGCGTCGAAAGTCTGGTAGGCTACCATAGGAGGGAAATTTACCACAATAAGAAAATAGTGCTTTGGAGCAGAGGTATGACTGTCAAGCATAATATACCGCGATATGGGGACCTTAGAAGATCAGCCTATATGCTAGAGACGGTTGATGTATAACTAGGAGATATAGGGGTTTATGTACGCTGCAAAGACTCTAAGATATTCTCTAGAACATTGACTCATAGCAGATATGTACTTGAAGGTGAAACAATTCTCTCTATTGCAACTCAAGTCCTTAGCTAAGCAAATATGTTTAAGCATTGATTTAGAAGCACAGTAATTCAACAACGCATCTAACGACCATTATAATATGCGCAACTAGATACACGTTCTCCGGCGAATCACCCCAAACGTTAGGACTGATCCAATACCTCCATCACCATCGCCTAAAGCCGCACTTTTATGGCGCGCAACTACCAGATCCTCTCACTATTGATAGACTATCTCTGAGCCCATCGGCCCACAAACGGACCTCAGCCAGCAAAGCACTGTTTCATACGTCTACTGTCTCGACACAGTTCTTGAACACATTCCCCTCTTCCCTTATGCCATCTCTTCCCTACACCCAATATACCTAAACCCCTTTCCCCCCTACCTAACACGATCTTACTATGGTCCGGAACTGAAGTCGCCTTGCGGGAGCTTAATGGCTGTGTAGGAGTTGTGAAAGTCAAGAATAGTGGAAGTGAAAATGCCGTGGAAGTCCAGTCTCGTGGAGGTGTGGGATAAACGTTATCTTAGAGGTACTTCTTATATTGCGTCCGTCTCTAATCTCAAAGACAACTCGGCTCCTTGAGCCATGGATTATAGCGGCGTGTAAGACTCGATTACGGCATCTGTCTTGGTTGGGTATTGGAGATATTCAGATCTGAACTAGGGTTGCTTGAAAGCGCGAATACTTAACTTAGTATGGCCGCTCGCTGTGTGAGCCTCTACACGCCAAATTAGTCTCGGCGACGAAGGGCACTAACACTCCACTGCTACGTCCGCCGTGGTCGAGCCGGCAAAGGCAATGAATGCTTCCCTTTATTTTGGAGGCACTTATGTTATGATCGTCCTAGCAATTGACCCTGGCAAAAGAGTCTCCAACGAGAACTTAGATGGGAGGAAGGTCAAAGCGTCCTTCACGTATAGTGGCCTAGCCCGAGCGATTGGCTATACTCATCCATATAGACATTGCAGTAGGTAACTACCTTAGCGTTTCTTGACCTAGAATTCAATGAACGTTTGTGTGACTACGACGGGCTTCGCCAACAAGCTACATTAGTAAGTCGTTGATAGATGTGCCTTTGTCGTTGTGGTTTCATTCGGAAGAATGATCGCTGCAGAGATGCTGATCATAGAGATAAGCCTTTTGCGAAGCGTATCGAGTGCATTCGGAGCGTAGTCGTGACTTTTTCATGTTGAAGGTTCCGGCATAAAGCAAATGCTTGCTGAGTATTATACATATGGAGAGCATTACTTCAAGTAGACTCGATGCAAGGAAGGTTCGAAGCGGATCTTCGGTGTAAAGAAGGTTATTAGATTTCATAGTCAAAAACGTCGAAGCCCTTATCATTGTCCACCACATTTTCCTATCAATACACCCCCATCGCTCTGCTCATACGCATTCAGAACTGCGCAAGATTGAGATGATGAGGTCTCGTTTGAGTCTGACCTGCGGCTTTTGCAGCTAGAGGCAATCAAATTGCGCCTCTGATTGATCTAGGTGCGTGAGTTGATACCTATAATAACGAGACTTTACGTTTGGTAATTGGGGAGGTTGTGCTATGATTTCTTGCAAGAGGCGTAGGTTGGAGATTCGAGGATGTGGAGCTGGTCTCTCATTTCTTGCCGAGCTTCGATATGTTGACGGCGGTCACTACGCACCTCTTTCGGACGCATTTGCTGAAAGAATGAGTCTCGATGTAGCAAGAGACAACGTGTTCTCGGTGTGATTATGATTGAAGCAGATAAGTTGCAGCTATCACAATGACACTGTGTGTGACGTATAAGTCAAGTAGCAGCCCTTGCTAAGCTCTCTTTCGCGCTAATACTAAGCCGCTTGTTTTCACCCCTATCTCAGCCTTCCCCATCAACACTACCCCCATCATCGATGCCTAATCATACGACCTTGTCAACTACTGTCCATGCAGAGGTTGTGTCCTCATGCAAGTCTTGCTCGACCGCAGACCTAAAGTCTTTGGTCTAGGGAGGAACTCCAACTGAGCTGGACATCCAAAGGCTGTGTTTATCCAAGAGAATCGCAATTAGAACCATATTGGTCGACTTATAGATCTCCAACCCTCCGCCTCCTCCGTCACTTCAAAGATCTCCAAGCTCCTCACTTCAATCAGACGTCGCCAAATCAATCGCGGGTCAAAACGATTACATCAGCAGTGTGATATAGACTCCAGCGAGAATAGGCTCCAACGAGATTAGCAAAGTCACCGAACACGACGAACGGTCTCCAAACCCCTCCAGAGACCTCAATTGCAGGCTGGTCTTTGTCATAGATCTAAGGCGAATACTTCCAGGTCGCTCGTCTATCCCTACAATCTTAGCTCGCTCGCCGACAAAGCTATAGAACTAGGGAATATCTACTTTAACGTCCATTCAAAGGCTTTGTAGAAGTGGTAGAGAGTATGTTGGGCATCCGTCAGCTTCTCCAAAGAGTCTTGCGCCTGCTTTACCTTACTTGAATGCATAGTGGAAAGGGAAGCGCGCCGCTTTGAAGTCCATTTAGGAGCGAGAATGACTGCGGTAGAAACTGTTTTCTGGCTTAATGAAATCGAGGTCCAGCGCAACACACTGCGTGTATAGACATGTGGCCCACACTATGCTTCAACATGCTTTGGAATGACGACCATACATCTTTACCCTCCACGCCCCAATCATCCCCTCCTTTCTACAACCTGCGCCCACCAAAACAGATCCCCCAAATTCCTCTGCACAGCAAAAGACACCCTTGCTCTCCCCTCTCTCTTCCCCTTCCCCTTTCCCTTGACCCTACCCCTCGGCTCCTCCTTCCGAAGTGCCGTAGCCCACGACAAGCACCTGGAGCATCTATACGCCCTCGAACACTTCCACGAATCTGAAGGCGCAGGGTAGCTGTACGCATACGCTGAGCGGCATCGCATGATATCGTTGACGAAGGTGTCGAGGTATTTGTGAGGGCAGATTTGTACGGGCAGATGAGTTCGTTCTTTGGCGTTGGGATTGGGTTTAGGGTCAAGCGCGTATTCATAGTCGTATTGCGTGATAAGTTCAAGATCTGCGTGGATGTCGACGACGTAGCTGTAGGAGACTGCGACTTTGTCTGTGCCGTTATTATAGGTATGCTCGCATATATGCAATGGGGGTATAGCGCGAGGATTTCTTAGTAAGGTGTCTGTATAATGGTATGGGAATGGAAGGCCAAATTGGTCTTCGTAACGTTTGATGATATCGTTGAGTATTTTTCGCTTTTCGTGGCTGCTTATTTCTAGGCATGGACAGACTCTGATAACTCTTGAGTCCAATAACTCACGAAGTCGTTGCCATTTCGCCATTTTAGGTTCATAGAGGCAACTTCTCTTTGTCAGATCACACGCTTGCTCTTGCTTTGTGAAGTCGTTGAAAGGGTGAAGCATAATGCAACTGGAGCAGTAAAGCCATCGATTATCATCTTGAAGCAACCAAAGGAGCTTGCGACGTTCGTTGTAAGGTGCTTTGAATTGCCGTAACTGTGCACACCATGGCGCATCATTGGGTAGCTTTAGATCGTTAAAATCGTCTGACTTCCATAATAGATTGCTCAAACTTTTGCAGCTAAGACATAGAGAGGCGCAGGAACAGTCATCAAGGTACTTCGCGACCTCTAGAAGCAGTTCTAGCGGTAGTTGTAATAAGGAGGTTTGTGTACTCATGCTGTACTCGGGTCGTTGGTCTTGGACGACGCCCTTCAACCATCTGTAAATCAGTCGTAAAAACAATGTTGCCATCATAATTGCCTCCATGGTCAAGGTAAAAGGTCGAAGGTGTGACTGAAGACGTTGTTGAAAGGATTGCCAACGCATAAGCTCCGTGTGCCGTTGACGCCATTTCGCCAACGAACCTTGCTACAAAGGTGGCGTGGTTCATGGAGTCAGCCAAACGCCACTAGACGCTTCCGAGAACGTTACTCAACAAAGGTTTAGAGGATGATGTGAGCGCTGCTTTATCTTCCGACGCCAACCCTTGGGTATTCGGAATATCTGGCTTCCAACGAAGGAGTGAAGTTTAGTTACTATGTGGTTTGTGGTTGTACGTCGGCTTTGCAGTGGGTCAGCAGTGATCGCAGTAGAGGGTGCCTCAATGTCCACTCACAGTGATCGATGGCCTGATCTTCGCCATCCTGCCTGTCGACTCGAAGAGAATGTTGACGACAATCTTGCCCCTTCCCCCTTTGCCCTTCAGCCTTCTCCACCTTTCTCCCTCCCCCCCCCCTCTAATGACGACTATTGAACCCTGAAGAGCTTCCTCCAGCAAATGTATCGTCCGCCTTCTTGTAGCTTCTTGGCCATTTGTCGTCATATCAACACTGGTATAGCGCCCGAGATGGTTGGTGTTTGAGTGCTTTGTGTCGCCTGTTTTCTTTCGAAATCGTGTCTCCTCCATGTCGTGACGCATCTCCGTCTCTCGTCCCGTTCGTCTAGAAGCGCATCGTACGGTGCAATGCTCCGAACCAATGTTTCGACTTATGTCTATACCTGAAGTGACAGTGCGAGACAGCGGAGCCATGTTAACATCTTGCTCTCTGTCCGCCTTGCCTCCAGTTGGTATCAATTGAGTAAGGTCGGCGAGAACACTTGCTTCTTTAAGGTGTTATCCTTATGCCTTGTTCTGTCTCAGACTCTGTCTTCTGGGTGTCGTCTCTTTCATTTAATTTATATACCTCCCCTCGTCGTGTCAAGCGTTCTGTCCCCGTCCTAAATAGCCTTCATCACTACATAGACTCTCCTTCTCCTCTTTCTCGGTCTTGCAATCCCGATGTCTCGTTCTATAAGTCTTGAAGTAAATCGCCCAAGGGCTCCGCTTCTGTCGTGATGTTCGTATTTGACGGCTGGAGCTACATTGGCGTTGTTGTCTTGCGTTCTGTCCCCCTTGCCTCTCTTTTGCGGTAATTGATCTAAGGACATTTGCTTCTCAGACCGACCCCCTTAAGTCTTATCTTGCCTCTCGGTTGTTCTGTTTGGCTGTCGTCTCGTCCGTCTAATACCCCGTCCCTAATGGCTTCACTTCTTTCATCCCTTCTCCCCAATATACACCAGCACTACATTGATTCCCCTCCCCCCTTCCCCTCAGCCTCCTTCTCCTCCTTCCTCTCTGCTTCCTCCACCTGCCCCTCTGCCTCCTCTGCCTCCTACGCGACTCTGTTACCCTTCAAGAAGCCTTTTCAACTGCTCGTTCTTTCGCTGTTTAGGAGCCTTTCTTGTCTTTGCAGCGTCCTGAGGTTGAATTTGCCCACCAATCACCGCTTCCGAGCCTCGATGCCGAGTTGTATTAGAAATGTGCTGGGACCAAAGATCAATCGTTGTTCGCTTCTTAGATTCCGAGTCTTGACGCACTTAGATTTTATGGGTCTCTCTTTTGTGGCTGCTCGCGAATTGCGCTGCTGTCCGACCCTTTGTTGTTACTCGTTGGCCGTATCGCAAGCTTCGATATATATCTTGTTGTATAGGCTTGATGTCATGGGATGGATTCTTTTCTCGACCCTATGGCATCGACACTTGGGCTGACTGTTTGCGAGAATAGTGTTGGAGTTTCCGAGAAACGGTTGCGTCTGTCTTGGTTTTAGCGTTCTGCTAACTCCGTAATCTTATAGAAAACTTGACCGACCTTTCGTCTTCCCAGTCCACCTGTATTGTTCCCTAACAAGTATGCCATGAAATGTTTCCCGCCTAATTGTCCCCAACCTCTCGTTTGGCCTCCGGTGCCGCCGAGCCACCACCCACAGCCCAGTAATACGTACTGGGAGAATTGCTCCCCGCTCCTTATATAAACGCCAGTGTATTCTCCTTCGAAAGGGAGATCTTTAATACGTACTGGGAGAATTTTTTTTTTTTCTTTCTCTCTCCCTGCCTGCTCCACACACCTCCGACCTAGGGTTCGGGGTTGGGACCTGCCCCCGTCAGAGAAGCCCCTCTCACTCACCTCATAGGCGCCCCGAAGGACGTTGTCAATCCAGCGAGGCCTCCCACGCGGCCAGCCACTCGGCCAGCCACATGTCGACCTCGCTGGACGTGCTATGAGGTCCCTCCCCCGGAGAAGAGGGCCCGGCCTGCACGGACGAGAACGTGACACTAGAGGCGAGGGGCAAGTCGACGAGACGTCTGAGAGTGGTAGCGTCTCTACATATATATTAATCTCATAAGGAGTAGAAGTCTTCGGATTTATACATACGGAATCTTAGCAAGCAGAATCGCGTTCTCACTCCGCGGACGGTCGACATCGGCCCTGACGACCTTTAGGTCACGTTCTCTCCGCCTGCAGCCGGGACACGCCTCTTCATCACAAGGTTGGGCTCTGTCACGCCGCCAGGGTCGTGGGATCAATAGACCCCACTTCACCCGCGGGTGCAAGAGGAGCTCAAGGAGCTCCATGAGGACCAGGCCCCAGGCCCCTAGGCCGGAGTCGTGAAGCCACGCAGGGAGTTGCATTATTGAAAATTATTTAATAAAAATTGATTTCTTTCGTAAAAATTGTAACAAAAGAATTGATCAAGATATATTGTGGTAGTAATATGAGGAAGAAAAAAAGAACGCGAACAGAGAAAGACTTGCATAACTTGTTTACATTGCAAATAGGCAGGCACGATCGGGTTCGCTGCACAACCATAGTGACCAGGAGATCATTTCAACTTCTAAGCTACCTTTCTAGGAAAGACTCACTGGCCACATAGCGGAAGCTCTCTTTCTAAGTGCATTCCACTGTTCCTCACGAGATGGGTGCACCCGCTGCTCTTCAACAGATGGCACTAATGCATCGAAGGATCAAACATCAAGGGCGAGTCAACGATCGCGCGCCTAGCTATTTCTACCGGCGGTATTGGCTCTAAAGGAGTTTCTAAATGGTTATATTCGTCTAGTTTCCTAATTACTCTGTACAACAGGCAATTGCGTACCTTTGCTAAAGCCAGCGGGCTCTGTGTCCTCGCTTTGCGGCCTTGCAGCTTGAGTATTTGCACACAGAGGCGTAACTTTTACCTGTTCCTTAGTACTAGGGTTTCGAGCTTCGTAGTAGTCGCCTTTCTGTTAGTAGGCGTCACTGTAGATTTCTGGTTCCTTAGCAGCCTCGCGTAAGTAGCGCGCTTGACAGTCGACATCATAATTCAAGGCGCAACAAGCTCCTTTATGCTCGTAAATCGAAGGCGAAGCATAACGTTGCTGCGCTAAAGCATTAGGCGCGTGCGCGTACTAACGAGACTGAGGCCTGTGACTCCCTTAGTCTTAACGTTGGACACTCAGCGTTTAGAGCTGAGAGCTTCCTAATGGCTTCGTAGCCCCTCTTTCTTCTTCTTTTTATGCCACCTTTGGGTCATCCCTCAGTCCTCGTCCGTCGTCGTGTATGCCGCGGTGTGCTTGGTGTCCATGGCGCCCAGCCCTGTCCGTTGTTTATGACAATCCGCTCACTGGAGTAGAGGACAATCCAGCCTTGCCCTGGCTTGGCGTACCCCAACTCCGTAAATCCAGAATAACTCGCGCCTCCCTCTCGTGGAAAGGCAGCCCAAATGGCAATGTTGGAAATCCTGAAGTAAAGTGTCTTGCCGCTAGATCGACACTGGATTCCAGAGATTTACGAGCATTTTGAGGGCAGATGTGAGTCTTGTTGATCCCCGAAGACTTGAGGTGTAGGAGTTGAGTCGAAGGCCAACGCAGTTTGTCAAGGTATCAACTGTCGCTCACATCAGCGTATCTGGTGAGCTCGAGCATTTGCAGATGGCGGGCAAAGACTCGTTGATGGAAGGAAAGTCTCAGGAAGAGTAGCGGAGCAGTGTAGTACGCGGCTGTCACTAATTGGTGCCTCTAAACCAGCTCGGGAACCATTTCAAGCGTCATCTAGGTTGCGAGAAGATGACTGTTGAAACTCGATCGCGTGGAGGAATGCTATCGCACAAAAGCCAAAAGTAGTATAGGAGCTGCAGACATAAGTGGCGACGACTGCATGTTGATGAGCGCACTTTCCGAGCTTCGATTAAAGCTTCTGCTCATCGGGTGTCAGGCCGAGAAGGGAGCAGCCATATGTTCAAATTGCCTGGTCGATCCAATCCACAGTTTCTCAACAGTATCTTCCTAGGCTTCACGCCTAAGAACACTCAAAGCAGATATGTCTCTGTCTCCGCTGGGCTTTACGCTTTCTCTGCGCGGCGGTATTGAGGTACCTTTCAATCCCGCGGAATATTCTCGCGTGAGATGTTTTCAGAATTGGCTTTAAGCTCCTGCAACAATTTATCTCTGGCCTATTAAGATGCGGGCGCCTCCTCTTCGGCGCGAAACCGTGATTGAGCTCTCCCCTGAATCTAATATCAAGGGGTCCCGAGAATGACGGCTCAAATTATGCATCGATTTGGCTGCCACCCTGCTTACTGCCCCTGTCAGCGCAGTGTGGCGAGCTGCTGGTGAAGTTGAAAATGCTCATGTTGCTTGCCGCGTCACTCATCGCGTGTTGCAACGTGTCCGCTGTCGCTGTTCTAGACGCTGACCATCCCTTTCCCCGTCGTTGGATCGATGCGTGGGGCCACGTAATTTCCTGACAGGTCTACCATGTCTTGAGTGGGCTTGTATTTTTTTTTTTTTTGCCGCGGTCACAGAAGGACCATCGGAGTATGAGCTTTATAGGGAGTCCCGATACAAGTTGGGCAAGCTATCCAGAGATGTTGATGATCGCGAATAATGTCTGAGCTGCGCTTGGAATTCTTGTCACAAAGGTAGAGAGGATCTGCAAATCGGACTGCGGAGCCGCAGTAAGATCGAGAATGACCGTTAGCTAGAACAGCAGCAGCTGGGACCACATGGTGTAGCTCGTTAGCGGTGAGGAGGATCATCTTTGCTGAATGCGAGCTTTTCAGAAGAAGGTTCGCTCGCTAGTTTTCTGAGTGCGGGCAACGATTGAACGGGAGTTGTGGTTGCAAGGTTGTACGTGGGCATTTATGAAGGAGCAGTCGGGCGGACGTTCATCGACGTGGGCGGTGGGCTTACGATGGTGGAGGGCCATCGTGGCGAGCTTTAGACGTGTAGGAGAAGGATGTGGCTGCCGAGCGCGACTTCTAAGCACAATATACCCGCTCTCCCAAAATCTTTCTGACGTCGTGCTCCGTCGAAGAGAACAGAATTCTTCTTGTTCCTGCTCCTCTCACTAGTGTAGCTGTTGTTTTATCTTCCCTTAGTGCCAGTACTGCCACTGCCTCTTCCTATATCTAAGGCGAATCATGGTTGCTTGTGAAAAGACTCGTATTACAATCTCAGGGCATCTTTAAGATGAGTATGTCTCAAATAGTAGAGACGTAGGGACTCGAGGTCATGACTGACAGTTTAATTTCTCTATCATGGCTCGTCTAAAGCTGAAAGCATGAACCATGCTATATGGTATATAATCAAGATGTTGCCGCCCACGTCGGAAAGGTAAAGTGAATCATGGGGAACGATTGTCGGCTGCTCAACATGCGTGATACAGAACCCGTCTTATTCATGTAGCCGCTTCGCTGTTCAAGTTCCTTAGCCATCTTTATAGTAAAAAGATCCTCGAAAAGAGACTCGCTGGGTCTCTGTAGGTTCTCGCAGCATTCGAGGGTGCTATCAGGCTTCAGAGCCGTGAGAATTGCGTTGTATATGTGCCATCCGACTCTTGCTTGTTTCTTGAGTCCCAGCTAGCCTGTCGTTACGGGAGCTTTGGCATGTAATCTAACCATTACCATGGTAGAGATTTGTTGTACGGGGTAGCTTGATGTTCTCCAAATCAAGGATTGCGGGGCGATGGATCGATACTTCCATTGTCATCCCTTCGCTGTATGTGGTAGAGAGTTACTCAGTGCAGCGGCGGAGGCTCTGTCCAGTGACATGTGAAGCACATTTAGAGGAGGGTTAGGATTAGGGTTAGTAGCAGCATCACCTTGCCAACTCATCATTAATAGTTACCATACTATATATATCAGCGATATCACCCCACCGCTTCCTCCTGCTTTACTTCCTTAAACTTCTCCGCCGCCGCAGCACCAGATCTCCCAGTTTCTCTGCATCCCACCTACGCTTTCTCCTCACCTGCCCTCCCACCCCCACCGTCCCATTTCCAGGCACAAACACCCAAACACCCCTAACATTATCCCCCCACCGATCCGCATTATCTTTTCCCACCCCTTTCTCCCCTAAATCCGTTGCGTCAGCTGAGATAAGCGCAGAGCTCTTCCCCCCATACTGATCCGAATAAAGCGCCACCTGCGCCTTACCCCTGAGACCAACCGACTGCACCTTCCCCACCATCCTTGGATCCGTGAGATTGTTTGCGCTCCCAGCGACGAGGCACGCTACACTGCCATACCCGTTTACGTGTTGCGCGAAGCAAGCTCCGTCTGGCGAGGGAGTGTCTGTGGCGATGTGGATGAGCGCGTGTTCGTCGCCCTGCCAGCCTTGCTTGATAATGTCCTGGAAGTTAGAGGGCGGGTCTGGGATCCGGAGGGTTGGGGGCACGTAGTTGTCTTTGTTAGTGAAAGTGATGGACCCGGTGACGCCGGTGATGGAGCTGGCGTCGAAGAATTGGAACCCCCAGTCGCGCATGTTGATGTCGTAAGTGCCCTCTGGGAGACAGAGATTTACCTTGGGAGTGTTGAAGCAGACGCCGTTACTTTCATCATACCCCTTTAAAGGCGCAGGGGCTGGGGCAGGAGGAGGTGATTCAAGCACCGCGACAGCGCCATTGCCGTTTGTAGCGCTCGTGAAAGGGATGGGGCCGCCCTGGGCGAGAGCTTGGCGGTTGCTCACGTCCCAGCTCCAGGAGGCGGTGACGCCGCACGCGATGGTAACGGGGGGCCGGTGTAGATGGTATTGTGTTCTTTGATTTCGTAGCCGCCTGCGACGTCGGCTCTGACAAGGCAGTCGCCACTGCCGTCTGTGTCGATAATATTGATTTCAGATGCGGGTTTCTGGATGACTTGGGTGCTGCCGTCGAGATTGTATTGGGTGATGCTGAGGGGGATTTTGGTAAGATCGAGGGATGGGTAGGCGCGGTGGGAGCATACTTGGGAGGCAACGCCGCGACCGTTGGCGCCGTTGCGGCAGCCGAAGTAGGCACCTGGAATTGTTTCGAAGCATTGGACCATTACTGGGAGGGTGGCTGGGTAGCCTCCTGTACATGCGAGGAGGAAAGCTGCAGATTCCAGGTGGCCCCATTCAGTGAAGACTTTCTCTAATGTACCAGGCCCGTAAAGAACCTCACACTTTGGATCCGGAGTTGCGTTTTGTTCGGTAGGTGTGCGACAGCCTTCGTTGCCCGTCATGGACTTGTTGCCGAACATGCTGAATTGCATGAGCTCGACTTTGTTATCGTTCAGGGGATAGTTTTTGACCTCTTTGATCACAGCTGGCAAGGTGAGAAAGAGTGGAATGAGTGCTAGGTCGGCAAAGACAGCGACTGAGCTTACGAGACCAGCAGTGAATGTTTCAATGGCTGCAGTGGCTACGGAAGCCGCAGTGCCCGCGATGCCAAAAGCTGCCCCCTCCACATCACCATCCTTGAGATCTATGACCAAGAATGTAATGCCTGCGCCAACGTTTGCAGCTGTGCCTGCAGCCAAGCCTGCCTTCGCTGCAACGTCTGCAGAGACTGGATGGGGAATTGCCTTGGTCATCTCCAGCGCTGTAAGCGTTTTACCGTCAAGCTTGCCTATCTGGATCACTCTTTGCTTATTCAGTGAGAGATCGGTGCAGTCTCGTTTCTGTAGACTAGGAAGACCGGCATGTCGCTTTTGAATAGAGCAGGTGCCCTGTAGTGGTTCCAGCTCCATTCCTTGATGGTAGCCGCCCAGCTCAGGGTATGGATTGCCTCCGAGTCGAGCTTGCACTGCATTTTCTCTTGCTTGATTTAATTGATTGGCGGGACTGTCAAACTGAGGCATCATCAAATCAAAATCGCCATCAGGCACATGTAGCCATGCTGAAGGATCGAGATCGGGAGGAGGAGTGAGAGCTCGGGGTTGAGGCTCTGCTATCGCCTGAGGTCCGCAGTCCTCCGCGCAGACTGGTAATCGGTAATTCCGTGAAGTCCCACTCTTCGTCCCATCGGCCTTGAAGTCCTCATACCAGACTCCTTTGTATTCGGGTTTTATCATAGGAAGACCCCTCTCCCGAGATAAAAGAAAAGCCCACTTGTGATTCGCTGCAATGAGTTGATTGAACGATAGACCCGCTCCTAGCGGGCGGTCTAAGTCAGCTGCTGGTAGCAAGCGCTTGACAAGTCTTTGCAAGACAGAGTCGCCGTTGTTGACATCGGTAGGAGTTCGAAGCACAATCGCTGGGTTCTGGGCAATGGCGTTGGCGAAGGGGCCTTTTAGCGACGGAGAAGGGTCCGCGCGTTCAACCAATGTTACAACCTCGTCTGGCATAAGAGTGGTTTGACCAAGGGGAGTCAGGGCTGGAGGTTGATCTTTGCTACGAAGATTGACCATCTGATCGTTGATACTTGTTCCTGTTTCAAACCCTTGAATGTAACCGAAAGAGCCATGTTGATTGGCATTGTTTATAGGCGCTATCTCAGGCCAAAAATTGAAGCCAGGAAAGGCATCGGTAGCTTGAATAGCAATGGCAAAATCCGATCCTGCAACGGGGGCAAATTTGTTGTCCGAAACGTCTAAAGCCCAATCCTCTGGTGGTCTTGGGAATTGAATCAGCCACACAGTCTGCCCGGCAAGTACTATCCTCGATAGTAGTAACGTTAGCGCTACAATATATCCAGCCATATTTTTCCAACTGCGCTTCGAAGTTGCACAAAAGCAGAGCGGAGGTAGATACGGTGCTTTCTCTGCCAGCTCTTATCTATATTCAATATCACTGGGAAGGTGCTATGTGTGGCGTCGAACTGTTGCACGACGAGAATAGACACGCGAGATGGCATCGTTTGTTAGAGGATGCTACAGACAGGCGTCCTGACAGCTGCTGCCGCTTCAGGAACCCTATAGGGCGTCAATGAAACAGGAAGCTAATAGGGTCATTCGAGTCGCCCGCAGCTCAGCAATATTCGCACATTTTTGAGCCATGAAAGATGGAGGTCCAGGTGTCTGGACTGGCCGAACCCATCCTTTCGCACCATGCATCTGACAACGATCTGTCAGTAATACCCTTCTCCGAGTATTCTCCGAAAAGCGTGGGGCCAGACCATGGCCGTTGGCTCGAAGCCCGAGGCCATTCTCAAGCTTGTCTCTGTCCACGGTGTTCTTGATATTGACAGTGAATTTGTTTCATATTTCGCGCATGGTTATTGGCGACACGATGCATAGTCGCAAGCCTCTTGGCCTATTTATGTTCTTCGTCGCTTCATGAGCCGCGCCTAGTCGCTATTTTCGAGGCGTACCGAAACGAGCTAGGTGCTTAAGCAGAATGGTCCGGCCGTGTCTATATTTGTTCTCGTGCGTGGCGTTGCCCATGGTAGGAGCTCCCGGAAAGTCTATATCCTGAGTCCTTCAGATAGGCGCGAGCCAGCGACATCATGACAGGGATCTCCATCGTTGGCTTCAGCGATGGGAAAGCTTCGCAGCTGCTGCCAAATCAAAGCCAACACCAATTCCTGAGTAAATGATTGCGCTCAATTCCGACGGCGCTGGTTGAACGGCGACTCACCTCATGAAGCAGCAACAAGCGAGCCCCTACTCCACCAGCACCTTCCGTACACCCTCCCCAGTACCCAGCTCCTTGTCCCCCTCGCCAGCTCTCTCAACCTCCACCCACGCCCTCCCAACCTCAACCCCACCCCTGACAACAGTGCCTCTACACTCCCGCCATACCCTAACCCCACCAAGACTCCCACCCGCATCCTCATATTTCTTCATCCACACCAAAAGCTCCCTTACCGCCCAACTGACCTCCCACCACTTCATCTCCAGTCTCTTCCCAGGCCAAGCAAAAATCGCAACCCTTACCAGCACACCATCTCTCTCGTACACGAAGGCCCGATTCGTGGTAAGCGTATCAGCTTTTCGCTCAACAGCGACGCGTTTGAAGACCTTCAAGGCAGCGAGGAGAGCATAATGGGGCGAGGGAAGTAGTTGGGCGTTGGAAGTGGGGGAGATGTAGACTTGGGAGCCACGGAACGAATCGGGAGAGGTTTGCTGCTGTCGCTGTGCGATGTCGTCGCGGACGACGAGTTCAGATAAGACGTCATGGGCATCAACATCATTCGGGTCTTTCGATGTATGCGCCCCTACCACCTCCTCTTGTGCTGCATTACCAGCTGCTACCGGTGCCCTCGCGCGTATCGCACCAGCCGAGAGATGAGTCATCCCTTCATTCGGGCGAAAAAGCACGAACTTCGTGCTCGGCACCGCGATCGGATATCCTTCGAGCTTCCTCACAATACCCTCGTACGTCCAAAGAGCGTACTCGACCAAGCTAGCCACAGCCGGGTAGGTAAAGAATTCGACAGTTGTGGTGGTGTTGGTGGGGTCGTGAGATTTGCGGTATTCGGGTTCTGGGGTACCGATTGTATTGAGTGAGTGGTTGAAGAGGCCGTCTGCGCAGGCAAGGTAAATGGATGTGGTCGCGAGGTCTTGGGTAGTGAAATGTAGGGTGAAGGCGAATTGGAAGCTTGCAGGCCAGGGGAGGGGAGATGATGATTCTAGGGTTAGGGAGCTAGGAGTGTAAGATGAGGGTTGGATGAGTGATGAGGATTACTTACACTGCCAATTGGGAAGTCGTGTTTTGTTCTGTGTTGATGCTCTTGATGGGTGACCGTAAGCTTAGGGTAGACGTAGTGGAAGTAATCATTCCCAAAGTTAGCAGAAGCAACATTATTTGGAAGCTGATAACTCAAGAAGACAGGAATGAGAGCAAGAGTGCTGATGTCGAGTTTGAGATGTATGCAATGCTCGCGCATATCGGGCTCCGGGTGAGACATTTCTCGCTGTATGCGTCTTCCAAATATGGCGTATATGCTGTAAGCTCGCGTTGTCATCTTTGTTCTTCGCAACGTCAAGAGCGCAAAGTTGTTTGCGTATCAGTCCTTCCATTATGAGACCTCAGAAGCGGGCAAGTATTGCCCGAAGCATCGTGGAGGACTACGATGAGATGTTGTCGTAGATGAGAGCTGCTAAGAGCTTTCCTTGCAAGCCATTTGAAGCTGGAATTGCCTTGAAGGGGCCCAGGGTACGGTGGCGGGGGCTCTGTTGACTCTGGCCTTCGTGTGCTAGCACTAGCATCGTCGTCGATGCTCCTCTCACGCGTCGTTCTCTCAATAGATCCCTTAGCCCTGCGGGGCACATTTGTTGTAATTTTGTTGCAACTATGCGATGCGGGGCGGAATAACTAATGTCCGGGGCAGCTTATGAATCTTCATATATTAAAGGAACAACTATCAACTAATAACAACTAGTCTATATATATATAGCTTAATATACTTTAAAGGTATATATCTAACTAATCTTTAATAATTATTATTAAATATTATATTTATATAATAGTAATTTACTTTAATAGTAAACTAATAATAAAATATATTAGCTATTTATTATTAAAACCTAAATTATATAATTATAATATTCTTTCTTAAAATTATTTTTTAAATAATAAATAAAAAGTTTAATTTTAATTATAAATATTTAAAATAATTCTTATTTAATAGCTTAGTAAATATATTTATAAACTAGTTTTTTATATTAATATATTTTATTTTTAATAAACTTTTCTATATATATTTATAAATATAATAATATTAAATAGTAATATACTTTATCTTTTAATAGAATTTAAAATTTTTAAAAAAAGTAATATTTTTAAAATTATTATTTTTTAATAAAATAGAATATCTTTTATTAAAACTAATTTTATTAAGCTATTATAAAGCCTATATACTAAATTTACTTTTTTTATAAAATATTCTATATTTAGTTTTAGTTATTAATATAGCTATTATATATTATTTCTAAGTATATTATATATATAATATATTATAATAAGTTATTATATAGTTATAAGTTATTATATAGCTATAAGTTAATTATTTATTTATATAATTATTTATATATAATATATCTATATAATAAATAGTACTAAAGTTTTATAATATAAATATAATTATTAAATTAAGAACTTTTTTTAAGTATTTAAAAACTTTTATTAATAAGTTTATATACTATACTATAGGATTATAATAGAATTAATTAAACTTTAATATTACTAGTATATATTAACTTTTTTATTAAATACTAATATTTATATTAATTATATTGCTTTTTATTTAGCTAAACTTATATAATATTTTTATATTTATTTATAAGAGTACATATAGATTAGGTATTAATAAAACTCTATTATTTAATTAGTTTTTTAATATAAGAAGTCTAATCTACTATAATATAATTATTATAATATATTATTTATAATTAAAAACTCTTATTAATAGTCTAGAATCCATAACTTTAAAATAGTATTTTAAAAATTCTTTAATCTTAATATAAGTTAATTTCTATTTATAGGTAATAATAATATTATTAATATAAAATATAATTAAATATATTTATCTATTATCTATTATTTTTTTAAAGATATAGCTATTTATAAATATAAAAAAGAATTTAAGTTTATTTATAATTTTATAAAATTTAATTACCTAAATATAAGCTAATTACTTTAATTTATATAAACTTTTCTTAAGCTTTAAAACTCTTCCTTTTAATTATTTACTATTTAATATACTTTTTAATAAAAATATAAAAACTTTAATATTAAAGTTACTATTTAAATAAACTATTATAATATTAATAAGGAATACTTATAACTTATATTTTATTATTAAGCTAATAAGTAAATAAAAAAATTTAAATCTAAATATTAATATAAATATTTTAATATAATTGATTCCTTCTTTTTAAATAAATCTATAAGCTATTAGTCTAGCTTTATATTTGTCTATTATATTAGATAATAGGATTTTTTTTAAAAAACCTACTTATAACTTATAAGTTTTTAACTAGCTAGTTTATTAATAATTTCTTAAGTATTATTTAATATAAAAAAATTAAACTTATTTTAAATAGCTTTATTTTAATAAAATAAGTCTATAGAGTTAATTACTTATTTATAAGTAATTAGGTTCTTTTCTACAGAAACTAGGAGCGCTATACTAAATTACTATTTTATACTAAATTACTATTTTCTAAATATATTATTAAAAATATAAGGATTATAAGTTTCCCTATTATATATAGAATAATAAGGTTATTATTTATTATAATTACTATTAATATTAATATTAATATTTATTTTCTTACTAATACTATTTTTAGTTTAATTTTCTAATATAGAAATAAATATTAATAAAAAAGATTAATCTAGTTTTATTCTATTTATTTATATAAATTAAATTTAAATATATTTCTATAGTTACCTTTTCCTCTAATAATCCTTAAAAAAATTATAAAAGAATTATTTTTATTCTCCCTTTAAAAAAAAGACTACTTATATATAGTATTATTATTAATAATAGTTTATATATATTTTAATACTATTAGTTTATCTATAATAATAATTAAAGTAATATTATTATTACTATTTTTAATATTTAAGTTAATTCTATTTATTTATTAAAAAATAAATAATATAATAGGAGTTAAAAGATATATTATAGATATTTCTTCTTTTATATAATAATAATCTTTATTATTAATAAGAATTAATAGTTCTATAATACTTATTAGCGCTTTATTAATCTCTATTAATAAGTATATTGCTATCTAAGTATTAAAAACTTTTATTCTAATAAATATAATTCCTTATTATTTATATAATAAGTAGACTTTAGCTTAAATAATAGAAGCTACTTTAAAATATATATTATCTTTAGCTAGGCTTTTCAGCTTAGATTGCCTCTCCTTTAATATATTATATTTATATAATACTCTAAATATATATTTAAACTTAATTAATGTTTTTTAACCTATTTAGCTATATATAAGATAAAATCTTTTTATTAATAAAAGATAATTTTTAAAATTATTTATATATTTTACTATATAAAGTTAAAATCTATTTAATAAGCTAGTATACTATATTATATACTTTATTATTATTATAATTATTTTATTAAATTATATAATAGTATTATTCTATTTAGGTATATAGTCTATAATATATTCTATTTATATATTTTACTATTTAAAACTATTAATAATAGTAAGAATTTCTTTTATATTATTAAAATATATAAATTATATTATAATTTTTTAACTATTATATTCTTAGTAATTATATTAATTTATTACCCTTATAATAAGCTTCTATATATATTTTTTATTTATTATTAGAAATAGTTTTATATAGCTATATACTTTATTAATAATAAATATAAAATATAGTTTTACTTTAATATGAAAAATTATTATTTACACTTTATATAGCCTTTAAATATTATAGAATAAATATACTTTTACTTCTATTTACTTTTTATATTTATATTTTCTTATATATCTTATATATTTATTATTTTTATATATATTATAGAAAAAGTCTTTAGGAATTTTAAGCTTTTATAGGCTATATATTATATTATATAACTTCTTTATATATATAATACTAGGATATCTAAGTTAGTTATATAGTTTTTTAAACTTATTTCTTTTAACTATAATAGTATTATTTTTAGTTAATCTTATATTATTAATTATTTTTAGTTTTTTAATATTTTCTATATTTTTAGAATTTCCCTTTAAAACTAAGGCAGCTTATATTAGTATATTAGCTAGTAAATATAAGTTATTTACTTTATATCCTATTATAATTAATATACCTTTATATATAATTTCTACTACTTTTTATTAGAATTATATTAAGAATTTAAAGCGTTTTAAAACTAAGATTAATAATAAGTTATATCCTAACTTAAATATATATAAAATATCTTTAATAATATACTTTTTATTATTTACTATTACCTTAATATTCTCTTAATTAAATAATATTAATATTTATTTATTATTAACTTAAATAGTAGCTAAAACTTTATTATATATAATAAAATTAGTTTCTAAAGTTATTATATATTTAGATACTCTTGAATTAATTAATCTATTTTATAAATAAAGCTAAACTAATTAATATAGATTTATTTTTAATCTTTATAACTAAAATATAATTAATTTATTATAGTTTTATATTAAGTTCTATATAACTTAGTATTAACTTATAATCTTTTTTCTTATAATTAAAATAATTAATATCTATATTTTTAGTAATAAAAATATTTAATTTTAATTTAAAGCTTACTTTTTAGCAACTTTAGTATTTTCTATAAAAGACTTATTATTATTAATATTATTAGCTATAGCTATATATAACTTTTTTAATATTAACTTTTTAAATCCTTTTTATTACTTTTTTTATCTAGCTTTTTCTAGTTATTTATTTAAATATTTTTTTTATTTATGAATAAGTTTATTATATTTTTACTAAGTATTTAAAGTACTAGCTAAATTACTATTATAATTATTATTATATATTATATATAGTCTACTATATTATTAGTATTTAATATTCTTTTTAAGTTTATAATTTAACTCTTTTTACTTAATTTAAGTAATATTATACTTATAAGTTATAGTGCCTATTTTTACTACTTTAAATTATTAAATAACTATTTTTATATTAAGCCTATAGAAGAAATAAAAGTAGTAGATTACTATTTTATAATTCTTATTATATTTAAATACTTTAATAATAGCAATTCTAATAGTAATAATACTTTACTTATCCTCTAAGCTAATCTCCTTAATTTAGTTATTTAATTATTTAATTTTCAA